CGTTTGAGCAAAGAAGACGAAATGGCAGTCACCATACTGCTAGAGATGGCAGCGGCAGCGTTGGCGCCAGACTTCACCCCAGAGGTCGAGGTCGACCTGGTAGATCATAGCCGCCAGTTCTACTCCCAATTTCCAACAGCAGTGGAGGCTGAGACGATGGGTCGGCTGATCGACTCGTCTGAGCTCGCCTACCCCGACCTCCGTCGTCCGAAAACAGATAAGGGGGGAGAGATGCATATAGTTCTTCTCTTTCAAAGTAACACTTTTATCTTGCGGATCGAAGCTGTCGTGTGGTTTGGTATTGAGGTTCTCCTTGACGACGATGACACCAGATTGTGATAGTGCATCTCTGCATCGGGTCAGGAAGAATACGACCTGGTCATCCGTGAGATAGAGTAGACACCACTGGACCCAGATCAGGTCGTATATTTTCTCGGGTATCCAAGTCTCCAGGCCTGTTATATAGACATCACCGACCTTCCCTTCTGCCTTGAGTCTCCCTTCAAGCAGCACCTTGGCAAAGGCCTCTACCGGCTCGACGATGTCCACGACCTCGCAGACCCTACTCAGCAGCCCTTCTGTGACCCTGCCGATGCCCGCACCGCAGTCAACGCCCCGGGGGAGGGGAGGGAGATGGGCAGCGGCAGCAACGGCAGTGCCTCCCCCGCGAGACGGGAGCAGACGGCGTACTTTGGCCAAAAACGACTGCGAGGAGCGTAGGTCTACCCTAGAGATCTCTGGATATCCACCAAGCATCCCCTTGATGTTCGGCTCAACAGCGTTCCAGTACTCTACAGCACCAGCATTGTCGACAAGCATGTCTGGCGGGAGCTGCCCGTCGCCGTCTGTCATCTTTTCATCACCAGGACCCATGATGCAAAGCCTGAAAGATCCCTGATAGCGCTCTTTCAAGTCTTCCCACGCAGTCAAGTCTTTCGAAATAAACCGAACACAAAAAAAACAAGGTCCCACCATACATATGTAGGTAGTATTTAGTTACGGGGGCCTCGGCTGCGACTCCCGGAGGGGCAAAACACCTGCTCGATAAAATCTACATTAAAAACATCTTCACGTCTTGTGAATATTACCAAACATCGAACATCCGCTCATCCGCCCATCCGCTAGATAGAGCATATCGCATATCAACGTCTATACGGAGTATATGTTTAGCGCCAGGCCTCTGATAGGACGCTACTGCTCTCGTTGGTTCTGGCCCCCTCAGCTGCTACAGCAACATCTACACCTAAGATCACCCAGCACAAGACTCTTCTCCATCTCATTGCCCAGCAGTATGTCTAGCCTCTCAGTGGAACTTACGGCACCAAACGGCCGAAAGTACGTCCAGCCTTTGGGCCTGTTCATCAACAACGAGTTTGTCGCCGCCAAATCAGGACAGACTATTGTATCGGTCAACCCGACGTATGTACAAGTTTCAGCCTGCACCCCCCAAAAAGCAAAGGATACTAGATGATGCTAATTCTCAAGTGAACAGTGATGAGACGGATATTGCCACTGTGCATGCTGCCGGTGCTGAGGATGTAGATATTGCCGTCAACGCAGCTCGTGCCGCATTGAAACATCCCTCATGGAAGGATCTATCCGGCTCCGACAGAGGACGGATGATGGTAAAGCTGTCTGAGCTTGTTGAGCAGCATGCGGAGACTTTGGCCACTATTGAAACGTGGGATAATGGTATGTTCTGCTCCCTTTGATTCTCGTCCCATTCCCTCAGAGCCTTGTCCCACCCGGCTTGGACATGTTTCCTTTAATGAGAAGTTGACTTGGAACTTCGCCGTTCACCATCTCAGGAAAACCATATTTGGTCTCTCTGGGCGATGATGTCTCTGAAGTTGCATCTGTCTTGAGGTATTATGGCGGATTTGCAGACAAGATAGAAGGTAGGACTATTAGCACCACTGCCAACAAGTTTGCCTACACGTTACGCCAGCCCATCGGCGTCGTAGGCCAGATCATCCCGTGGAACTTCCCGTTAGCAATGGCTGCCTGGAAACTGGGACCAGCTTTGGCATGTGGAAACACCGTGATCCTTAAAGCTGCAGAGCAGACTCCTCTGAGCGTATTATACCTTGCAGGATTGGTGAAGGAAGCAGGATTCCCCCCTGGCGTGGTTAATATTATCAACGGATACGGTAAAGACGCCGGGGCTGCCATTGCGTCTCACACTGGCATAGACAAGATCGCCTTCACCGGATCTACAAGCACAGGCCGTGCAATCATGAAAATGGCCGCAGCTAACCTGAAAAACATCACCCTTGAAACTGGTGGCAAGTCGCCACTCATCGTCTTCGACGATGCAGATATCGATCAGGCTGCAAAGTGGGCTCACACCGGCATCATGTACAACATGGGCCAAGTTTGCACTGCCACATCTCGTCTGCTAGTTCATGAGGGTATTTATGATCAATTTGTAGCAAAATTCAAAGAAGCCATTGCCTCGACAAGCAAGATTGGTGATCCATTTGCGGAGGACACTTTCCAGGGGCCCAGGTGACCAAGGCTCAGTACGACCGCGTACTTTCATATATCGAGACTGGCAAATCTGAAGGTGCAACTCTTGCTACCGGCGGAGTGCCACATCAGAAAGTTGGTAATGGCAAAGGCTACTTTATCGAGCCAACGGTATTCACCAATGTTACAGATAATATGGCAATTTACCGTGAAGAAGTGTTTGGGCCCTTTGCCGTGATTGCTAGTTTTAAGACCGAAGAGGAAGCACTCACCAAGGCAAACGACACAACCTACGGCCTTGGCGCAGCGGTGTTTACCCAGAACATTGAGCGTGGTCACCGTGTAGCTTGCGGCATCGAGGCTGGAATGGTCTGGATTAACAGCAGCAACGATAGTGATTTCCGTGTGCCATTTGGCGGTGTCAAACAATCAGGCGTGGGAAGAGAACTGGGAGAAGCCGGCCTTGAAGCTTACTCTCAAATTAAAGCTGTCCATCTCAACATGGGAACCAGGTTGTGAGCGCAGAAATAAAGAGCAAAGAATCGGTGAAAGGCGAGCCACTTATTTTACTTTCTTTGGTCCGGTAACTATGGTCCATATGCCCGGGCAACTCGTTCACGTTCCGAGGCTGCAAAGACTGGATTCGACAAAGTTGAAATCGATCTCGGGGATTCCATTAAATAGCTTTAGTGCTTGTACGACGGATGAAATTGTCAATACATGAACATTAAAATAAATCCATCGTATTGCTTACCGCTCATACACTGCCTCCCTGCAGTTAGCTGGTGAAATGCAAGCCAAAAAAGCAACAGGTTCGTATGCATGTACGGAGTACAATAGAAAAAGAACCACGGTGGATATCGAACGATGCCATGCAGCTCTGCCATGCTCGCCGCCTTCGAGTCTAAGATCAATTGACAATTTTTCCATCTGGGGAGAGTTCTATCAAAAAGGAAAGAAAAGGAGAAAAAGAAAAAAAAACAAGAACAAGTGCCGATTAATGGCAAACCCTTACTATGTATGGTCCATCTCGAGCAAGATATACAACAACTGATAGTTCTGCAAGCCGACTGTTTCACCAACTTCCGGCCAACTTGCAGGGGCACCACATAGTATACACACAAGTACCCCTCAGATCAATAGGTTCCTTTTTTCTGTGTACACCATGGGTTTCCATCACAGCTGATCATCTCGATATGCGAGATTACTCCTCGAATAAGACACATTCCAGAAGCCCGGTGGAATGAATGGGGGCACAAGGCCATAAAACAATCACGAAAATAGAACAAGAGGGTCATCAGACATGCAAAAATGCAATATGATGAGAAAACAAAAAAAGGAAAGAAAGCAAGAAATGCGTTTGAACCTCTCTTTATCGTCACTAAGAAGTTTTTATGTCTCGTTAGTGGCGCAAGACAAAAAATAACCAACAAATAGACCGCATATCGATGAGAAGATACATGACCATTCTTCTCGAGGGCGTGGGGGAAGAAAGAGCGGTCCCATCTCTTATGAAAAAGCGATAAGACCCAATACTTTTTTGTTGGAACCAAGTATTGTTGCTGTCCGACTTATGTTCCCGGCTCATATTTAGTTAAAGAGTCCGACAAAGAGGGAAATCGAGGACATCGAAAGGATCAATAACTACGCCATCTCTCTCTACTCGAGGTGGAACCCCGTTATTATAGCCTCGATGCTGAAGTCACTCTATTCTTCGGAGGCTATTCTCCCGCCACACGTCAACGGTATGATGCCTTTTGCGATTTATCCCAGCGGGCCAATCAGCTCATGAACAATTCAGCGATACTCTGTGTGCAGGACCAAAGCCTAGGATAGTTCAATTTCGCTCGGCTAAGTCAAATGTCTAGGCTTGCAAAGAGTGTACATGGCCGATTGGTAGCTGAGACTTGGGCATACGGGGTAGCGGGAAATGGTTCTTTATATATCTGCCTTGCTGAAAGGCCACCTAGTCCTACCTAGATTACTCTTAACTTTGATACCAACATGCAGGTGATACGATGTTTACGCCTGTAAGATCGTTATTTGTTATTTTATTATAATCGTTTAACTCCTCTCAATGTCGGGGTTTTTTTTGCTGCTTCATATGTCAAAAAGCAGCCGCAACCACAGGCACAGCTACAAGCGAATATGACTAGAAGCTTGAACATCCTCTGAAGCCGTTCATGCACCTCATGGCGGCACGCGAGCCCAGTTTGATCTCCTATCTGGTAGCCATATTCATTGGGCATTATACCATGGCGACATGAACAATACGGATCTACTAGTAGATGAGAAAACGGGAGATTTAACTGGAGTAGTGGATTGAGCAGAAGCCACTATCCAACAATTCGAGCTGTCTATATGGAGGTTAGAGGCCCTTATTGGGTTTTCAGACATCGTACGCAAGCAATACGGAGTAGAGTCCTTGAAGATATATATATTCTTGACCGCTCTCCGAATAAAGTCGGGAGTATTATCATCATATCTAGGAGGGGTTGAATCCTGCTAAGATATTGGTTTATACGGATCACTGTGGCGGAGAGGCCAGCCAGCCTGCGGCGCTTGCAGGCGATTCTCCAGAAGAGGTTTTACCTCCTGTCTCGCCTATTACCAGACTCAAGAAGTGAGTAAATATAGAAACATACAGGCTGTCTCAGTGGCACTGGACAAAGACACGGTGTAACGGTTCCATTGCTTGCTCTGGTCCCCTGTTCTTGTATGGCCTCTACAACTGAAGGAGGCGATTGATATACACGCCAAAATGGTCAACGGTCGGTTGGCCCAGTGCAAAAAAGAAAAAAAAAAAAAACACACACACACACACACACACACACACACAAAGAGGCAAGGGATCGGGGAACGAAACCTATTCGTGATGGACAGTTATTGCCACCACTATACCTGTCCTTCGTTGCACAGTGGTTGGTTGGTTTGTTTGGCCTTTTCATGGTTCGAAGACGTACGGCATCCTCCGTACCTGACCGGTATGTTTCAACATGGCAGACACCATACATACATAGTACACACGTGTGGGAATGGAAAAAAAAAAAAATAGAAAAAGAAAAAGAGACCGACATGTCCGTTATGGAATACTTTTTTATTTTCATGCCCGAGTGTGTTATGAAGAGGAGAAATCTACTAGATGCAAGGATCAGCTCACTAACTGCAGCTAATGCATCTCTTCCCTGGAGCTGCACGGCATCTTATGCATAAACTGGCGGTCATCACTGACTCCTTGCAGCCCGGAAGCACTCTTTTCCAAGCGGCATTGGCAGGCCTGTCCAATTGGTTCGAGAGTGATTCATTTTTCTGGGCCTAGCACCGAAACAGTTCCAAAGGATCCGCGAAAGAAGTTATGTATCAGCCTGCATTATCTTCTTTTGGGAGAAGCTACGTCAGCCGCTCCAACAAACGCCAACATGAGAGCTGTCTTTCTCGCCCCCAAGTGGCCTGCGGCGCCATGTTCTCTCCGCGTGGCATCAACAAGGGAAATCCTGGATGTGTCCACGAGAGCCAACATTATGTGCCTTATTATAGACGGGGGAGGCCGAGTTTTGCACAGCATCTTGGGTTGGGCCAGGAAAGAAAAAGAAAAGCGAGAGGGGAAGGGGATGACAGACGACAGACGACAGATACGTGCGTCTTTGATGTGCGTGGCACAAGCCCGGGCATAACATCTTGTCAGCGAGTCGGAATAAGAGTAAAAAGGCGAAAGTGTCAGGCGTAACAGTCGGTTCGGTTGACTGTTACACTGACTGGGGGGATATACGATAGCCGTGGCAAGAAAGAGAGAGAGGGAGAGACAATGGATTGTAGCCAGCAGGTAACATCTATATGTCTACCCTGAATGGCTCCATATTGTTTTCTCTGCCAGTGGCTCTTGAACTTTTTTAGACAGTGAATACCACGGCCGGATGCATGATTACGGAGCCATGAGAGGTATTCTCGAAGCAATAGAGGGGGTATATCAGCAGAGGAGTATAGAGTATGCTGAATGGAGGGGAGTCAAGAGGAACGAACAACAGAAACTAGGCTTCATCACGAGCATTAGACTACAGAGGAGGTAGGTTTATTAATATCATCTCTTGATGACAACGACGATGATTAGTGTGGATGCGAGAATTGGGTCCTTTGGGAGGAAGAAAGGGGGGAAGGCAACGCCAGCCGGGGATGTTTACCAAACAGGAAAAGCTACCGTCTGATGGCGTTCGAGATGGTGGGCTTGGAGGCACAATAGTTCCCATAATCGCCATGCTGCTCTTCTGCAAGGCAAGTAAAGCAAACGAAGCCGTAGCCAATGCCTGGTCTCAGTCGGGAGGATGGAAAAGGAGAGAGAAAAGAAAAATGTTTACGTATAGGGGCGAACAGACGGGAAAAGGGAACCTTTTTTTTTTTTTTTTTTGAAATGGAGCGTGGAGAGAAAATAGGCTAAAATTAAGGTGGCCCGACGCCAGGGACCAGGGAACGAAACAACGTTTTTTTGCTTCCCGTCTCTCAAGCTTCGACTGTGCGGCGTGGAGAACGGAAGTGGTGTGTGAGAGTGTTTTGAGAGCGCCGTACGAAGTATGTACTATGTATATACAAATACGGAGTTATAGATATCTGTAGACAGTGTGTCGAAGTCGCATGACCTGGGCTGCGATCATCTTCGTATATAGTTACTCTGTGTAAGCCTTGGTCAAAAACAAGGCTGGTAATATCGGGATTTCACATCAGAGCTGTCAATTTCGAGATCGTCCAAGCATACCGCAACCCGAATCCTTTGCTCGAAATGTAGAATGTAGAAAACTTATATACAATGACGAGGTAACTGACGCCGGGGGCCTCAAAGAAGGAGATGATTCATGTACCAATGTATGTGAGAGGAGGCTACATACGTAACAGCAGGAGAGTTAGACTTGAAACTTTGCCGTGGAACAAAAGAAAGTATGCGAGAGAACAAGATGGGGAAAGAGAAGACGGGACACGGCTATCAATAGTGGTATATAACAAATCTGTGGTTATATTATCAGTGTCAGCACGGAAAACGGTGCCATTGATATACTCAGTGCCGTAGTAACTCGTACTTTGGGGGCCTGTTAGAGAAAGAAAAAATAATTATAAACATTCATATCACTACCTGGTGCAATACTTTATGTATACATACCAGGTAGAATTCAATCTTGTTGATCATTGTCAAGGATACATAAACATAATATTATCCGTACACCAAGAGCGTACTATACATCCAGTCTCTGTCTGTTTTGTGTTGGTGTCGCCTCTGGGGTAAACGGTTGCCAAAAGAGTAGTCTGTATATACTCTTACATTGGATCTTGCAATAGGTGGATGCTGCCTCCGCGGAGGTAGCTTGACAGGGTGGAAAGCCTGTCAGAACTCTTGAAGGACCCGGGAATGTGATTGACAAGGGTTGCTGCATATGGGAGGGAAAACAAGCATAATCCGCAAGCTTTTCTTTTGAACAAGACCACCCCTTGGGAATGCAAAGCAATTATCACCTGAATCCCTTCACAAAGTCCCCGGTATTACGCGAGGACAGTGCAAAAAAGCCCAAAATCAGCACTGAATTGGTCCAATTTAACCGAAAGCCCTTTCCCCCTAATCATCACGTGTACTCCCGTATATAGAGAATATAAACTGATGGTGAGAGTGGCGACGCCAGATGCGCATTATTGTCTGGACCTCGAAAGAGGTGGTCAGCTTCATTGGTCGTTTTGTTTTTTTTTTTCCTGAGAAATTCGTCAAAAAAATATTGAAAGCAAGAAGGATGTGTAAAATGGCGGTGGTCTTGGGGGGTTGAGCATGCATCGTCACCTTGAGAATCGCTGTGCATCATGCTCCTTTCTTCTTCGTTGTAACGAGAGGCGGCCCTGTAGATCTTGACCAGCTGACGATGATTGTCTGTTCTGGCCATGCCATGGGCCCTCAAACAGAGCAAATTCACAGTTGCTCGGGGACTAGCCTTGACGTTCCTGAAGCCCTTGTAATTTATCTTGTATTATTCGGTGCCGTCTCTCAAGTCTGTTGTCATGGGTCGGGATTTAAAAAGAGACAAGAAAAATGAAAAAAGAAAAGGAAAAAGGAAAAAAAGAGAAGGAAAAAAAAAAAAAGAGAGATGAGGAAGGTTTGTGCAGAAGTAAGGATGAAGTTTATTATATCTCGAGAATTGCGACTAGCATTCTCATATGATATACGGAGGGAGGTTGGTGCCTCATACAGAGTCCTGCGTTTGAAATTGACGATGCATGCCCAAATGTATATGAACTCCATGCTTGTGCTGAGATCCTCACTTTATTTACCCTGGACATAAGTATATGTGGCATCGTGCATATGCATATGTATGTATTGCATCATGTAGGTGCAAGACCCCTATCCCTCCAGGCCATGCCAACTACATAACGTGGAAGGGATGGTATATTATCTGGCCACAGCGCGGGATGATTCAAGGGTACTGTGGGATTTGACATCTCCCCCTGTATCAGCTCGTTCCAGGGCATTTGCCGATTCTCTTCCGCAGAAAAGGGATGAGCCGGAGATTTTCCTTGCTTCTTACATAGTACTATGCATGGGAAGCTTATGTGTACTCCATGCCTTGTCCCTTTTTTTTCTCACTTCTGATAAAACCTCTACCAAATGTGAGCTAGCAGGCTCCCCTTGTAGGCAGTGACAGGATACAGATTCCTGAAATGGATTGGTAGGCTCGTATCGCATTGATCAACTGCTGGTTGGGTTGTGCTGGGAATACGGAAATACACATGATACTGGTCTGTCACGGCAGAGAGCTGGAAAATATCAGAAAAGGACAACCTTCCAAGGCCATAAGGATTTGGCTATGCCACCAGAGGCGTCCTCTTCTTCTTTGTTATATTTATTTTCAAAAACTCAAGCCCATGACTGGATTATGAGAGTTATTCCGCTGAAGACAGCTCCGCATCCTTGGTTATATCATGCATTAGGCGGTTACCTAATAGTATAATTATTAGTATATTGACATATATGTTATGTACCAATCCCTTCAAGTTTCCCCACGCTAGTTCTCGTAATTACCCGGAAGGCGGATGCTGAGGCGGGAGAAACAAAGAGTGGTTCCCTTGAATTTTGGAGTCATTTTGGCAGACTTTCGGCAAGTTGGCTGGTGGAGATCTCAGTTGAACTTTGGCTCGCCTGTTCGGATGATCTCCAGAGGAATCCATATTTTAATTATGTACGATTCTTTCCCTCCTAGTATTTACAGAGCCAAGATCCTTCTTTCTCTCGCCCTTTCTCCCTTCCCCCCAAAGGCAGAGCTGTGGATCGAGATAACAGGCTAGTATGGCGCCGTTGAGTCCCTGTACCAGGGTTGCGGTGTCGAAGGGAGACACATGATCGCGGAATTAGGCCCTAGCATATGTACAGCCATGCCGGGAGTGACTAACCGCGTCCAATCATGGTGGTTCACAATTGGGCCTCCACTATTGCTCTTGTACTGGAGGATTATGTGTATTTGCAGACTCTTCTGCAAATCGGTTCTCGCTGATCAACTCCTGCCAAGGCTCGGGATTTGGGTTCCGCTACGCCACGAACAAGGGAATGCCATGCTATAGGCAGTTCGGGTACTCCATCCTCAAGTGAGACGGGAGAGAAGAGCAACCAGTGAAGGCGTTGATTTTGTGTTGTCCAAAGAGCAGCCATGCAGGCGGAGCAGCAAGCTGAATGTCCGCTAGTTTGGTTATCAGTCCAGCTAGGAATCGAATGTTCTGATCGGCGTATAGAACTTCTTCTGCCATGCCCGTGTATTCCGCATATGTGTACTCTCTGTACGGAGTAAGTATATATAAATACCACTTATATATATACTCCTGACAACATAACAAATACATAGTACTCGACGACAACAAAAAAGAAACGAGAAAAGTGAAAAAAAATGTTAAATAAGCAGTTTTTATTTTCATTTCTTTCCCTCATTTTCTTTTTTATTTTGGGCTTCGTTTTTGCAATTTCTCTCGCCTTGATCCTGGTCATATGTATAATATCGGACTCGGCCTTCACGTATCTACATCGACACACGACCCGATGTCAAGCTTGACAGACGCAAAACAAGGCGGAACGTGGGAGAGATAAGACGACTGTTTGGCTTTAACGCTGTTGCATCCATCCCTTGCCTGCTCTGCCTTTTGAGACCTTGTTCCTGACCTCTGTCTCTCGTTTATCGCTTGGCTGTAGTTTCAGGGCGGCTGCATGACATATTGAAGAAAAGGGACGCTGACTTGCATTCTTCATTGCTTTTTTGCGCGATCTGGAGTACATATACGGGAGGCGAGGGTGTTGCATCTTCGACCTTTTATCACTAGCAATGTTTTCTTCTTTCTGGATTTCTGTCCCTTTTTCTATAGTTTTTTTTTTCCTTTCCCCTTTTTGGTTTTCATGGAGTGAGAAGAAAGTGGTCCGTGCAGCTGTAAAACTTCAACATCGACAAAAAAATCCAACAAACAACGACGAAGTTCACCAACGTTAAGGGAAAGAAGAACCGAGATGAACAGTTGTTCAAGACATCTGGGACGATAATATCAAGGGATGGCTTTTTAGAAGGAAAAGGACAAAAGAAAAAATAAGGAAAAAAGGAAAAAAGAAAAGAGGTTAAACTAAAGTCCTTGAACACAGGCTAGTACCAGCTCAAATGTAATACCTGGTATACATCAGTATATATACATATGTATATACGGAGTACGGATATACAAACTAATAATAGAGAAACAGAGCTGGTGGCGGCCCCGCATCCCTGTTCCGCCCCCATGTTCTAAGTGAAAGGGCAGCTATGTACGAGGTAATGTACTTTTGCACAGCGTACCGACAAAGAAGGATGAATGTGGCTGTTGAGCCGAGCAGAGGAGACTAGCAACAAGCAAGAATTCCACGGACAAGCCCTTGCTTGAAACCCATATCCTGTCACTCGCCACGAGCTCATGGGATGGCATTCTAACCAGCGATCCCGATCTTGCATGATCTCAATTGTTTATGAATGGTACCATGTGGGCTCTAGATTCTGCTGGGGTTATCGTTTATACCCTAGGCCCTGTGAAGTTGAGAGCTGATGGTGGAGGATCTGTTTGACGATCACAGGAGAGAGAGGCATCGCCAGCGGCCGAACCGTGTTGAGATGCTCTACTCCAGCTAGCGCAGCCACTTTTGGCTGCGTCACCAGCATCAAGAAGCGTATACATATACCTGGTTGTTGCTTGTTGGCATTAGCTTAATGGGGGCCCCATTGCAATTCACTCCAGCGGGAGCGCGTGCCGTAGAGCGCTCGCCCGCTCCCGTCAAGAGAAATTTCCATTTTAAAGCCCCTGGAACCCTGTAAGATGGACAGAACAGTGGCTCCTTTCTGGAACCGATCCTCCGACCAACATCCTGATCAGACCTTTTTCTTTTTTTTTTTTTTTACTGAACAAAAAAAAAAAAATAAGGCTGGTGAGCATGGTTATATTGACCACATTGGATAGCGTGAATCGTGCATGGGAGGTTGAATAAGAGCCCCTAGATGAAGATCTCTCAATGCGATCATCTCGAAGTGTATGTGATCCCCCGCAAACGAAGAAGGAATGTGAAGTTGGCTAACCAGGTGAGAGGTGCTTCTCCATTCGCATATTTTGTATGGTTCACCCGTATGGAGAGAAAACCCAGCCTGAGCACATGATTCATAGTACTATATGCATCTTGCAGATGAGCATCACTAACGGTGCCTTCTAGAAGGCAGCTAGGTGCTTGCTTTCATCCTGAAGTAATTCAGGTTTCATCCAACCACCCTGATTACGTGAACCTAGCACACTCAGGATCCCATAAACTCCGTAAATTACGACCACATACACTCACATATGATATACATAAGTTCCATCAAATACATTGTATGGAGTATAGCTGAAATATTTGGGTAATTTAAGGTATAGTGAGTGTATGGAGCTAGGACAAGGATACCGGCAAGGTACGTACTTTCTCCGTATGCCCCCCCTTTCGATGATGCACCAAATCCAAGCGCAGCTCCGGGCAGCCAGGAACCAGCAAGACAGGCTGGGGCAGATATTGGTGCTATGCCATTCTCAGCCGTATGGGGGTTTTTATGTGGTAATTTGGTCTGTTTCCAGCCATTTATCCGAGCTCCAAGGCTATTCTTTCTAAACTATTCTCCACGTTCAGCAAGGATGTTGCCAGCATCGAACATCTCATGGCAGTCCGTCACGATAATAATAATCGGCTCGCTGAACCTCGAGAATTTCTCTTCCATTGATGGTGGAGAGAGAGATCCGTTACATCTTGAGTTTAATACCGGGCTTCCATGCTATATACATTTGTGTATGGCTCTTCGTCTGCATCTATACGGAGTACCTCAAGCATACTCCCATTCCCCCATGAAGCCTAAAATTCTCGTAACTCGAACTGACAAAAAAAACTAACTCCCACTAATACCACTATATACTCAGTCCCAAGCCCAACCGTTCCCACTGCAGCTCTGGTGTGTTGATGGTACAGGTTTGTTCTTGCGTATCAGTGGCTTTTAAACAACTGACAACCGAGGACTCCCAACGGGCCATGGCAACGGCAATAACCACCAATGGTACCTGAGATACTCCGTATCCTCTTTTTATACCTGCCAGCCGAAATCCTTCGAGTTTGCGGGTAACGGAGTAGCCCAACGCCAGTGATCCCTTGAGCTTCACACCGTGCTATGTACGGAGTACAGGTCGTGATAACACATGTCTGCGTGTCCAGCCTCCTCCTGTCTCCTTGATCTTCTGGCTTCTGGCCGCTCCAGAAACAGAGCAAAATTGAGTATTGAACCGTTAGCCTTTCGCCTCGGGAACTCTCCACTGGGGCTCGCAAGACCCACTCGGACGACGAGCGCCCGAAAGGAAACAGCTAGTAACCTTCAAGATACGACCAAGCAACACTACAGCCTGGTTGCTGCCCAGCATGCCGAAATAAAAAAAGCACCACCTGTGCAACGCTAATAGTTACCCCCGGTTTTGGATTTGACTCGAGTCTCCAGCACGTCAAGGATGGAACGATCCAATAGTTGCCGCGCAGGAGCTCGCCTTGAGCTCCACTGGCGGGCCACCATTCTCATCCCTTAACCAAGCTGGCGGAGCGAAAGAGCCTGTGACTTGTGCAGTAGGTTTCTTTTCTTTTAGTTTACTTTAAATTCTTCTATTTTTCATTTGCACGCCGTTTTAATTTTAAAATTTTCTTTGGTCGACGATAATGGTTAATTTACTCTTTTATTTATGCACTAACCTTGGGTATCCATCCCTCCATGGGATAGTTCCGGTACGCCCGGTCCCATGAAGCTGCCTTACTCGCTAGATCATGGCGGAGCTTTTTCATTTCCATCTGTGAGGACCATTTTCTTATTCATCATAATGAGGAAAAAGCAAATGGTCAATCGTCCAGAGTTCCTTATGGAAGGGCTGTCCTCTCGTATCCTCAGTTCTGGTGCTCGCCTCATCCTCTTTTTCATTCGAATGCTTCGCCCTTTTTTCTTTTCCGTGACCTGCAGTTGTCGTTTTTATATTGCCTGCTCCCGAAAAAAAAAAAAGAGACCAATACCCAATCGCTCCCTATACACTCGACATTTGTCAACCGGCTATTCCTTTTGTCGACTATCCCACCAAATACTCCAACTCTTCTTTTCGACGTGTGACGACACCTGGCTCGATAGCTGTATATGCTGCCTGCATTAAGTGCTTGACAACGACAACGGCAACGACAACACAACCGAAACGTCATCTCTAAAACTTTACTATATTGTGGTCTGGAGGAAGCAGAAACCTCCTCTCACCCTCATCCATCGTGGCTCTCCTCAGTACTCAAAGCCTTTTCCATCTCGGCTACTCAGGGTCGGCATCGTCAGGACTGTCACCCCATCCTGAAAATCGCGATCATTGCCCAGGCGATTTCCTACCCAGCCCTCCCTCCTCCCTCTCTCATTTTCAGCTATTTGAGGGTCGTAGTCCTTTGGAGAGAGGGAAGGACCGTCCATGCCACGTCTTAGGTCAGCTTCCCTTCGGAGGAGACCAAAATCTTATGTCGCAGCGGCCATATGCTTCAAATTCTCCATCCGACGAGACTTCCCAGCCTGTCAGCCAGCTATTAACATCTCCCGGCCGTTCAACTGCTCCACAAGATGAGGTAGAATCAGTAGATCCTCAGGCGCGGCATGGTGCTCCAATTCCCACGCCTAGTCGATCGGGATCAGTGAGAGGAGATGAAACCCCGCCAGAGCTTGCGCATTCCGGAAGGCCAACCTCCTCCGGCCATGGTTCAGCTTCCCAGAAACGGCCTCGATCACTAGGAATGCAAGCAATCCTCAACCCGTCATCTCATGCCCCGTTAGAGCCAAGCTCCCGACAAAGTAGCCGGGAGCCACTAGGATCCCCTACATCAACAGCTACATCTCCTTCTGCGCATATCCGTGGAACACCGTCTCCAATCCAACCCCCCACTCAACCTCCACTACACTACCATTATGAACGTTCTACGTTATCTCCGAAGGTGGGCAGGAAGCTTTTGACTCCCAAGTCACCCGCTGTCCGTGCCGCGAGCTTGGGAGGTCGATTCACTCCTGTGCCGGGGACCATAAACGCAATCCAGTCGCCTTTTCTACAGTCCCCCCCGCCTCCGAGATTTGCCGAGGGTGCATCTCGAGTGCTTATTGACTCTGCTTCTGCAACTGTGCCTAGTAGACTAACTCAGCCTCGCCAAACAACTCACGCAGCTAGCATTTTCTATGACCAGAGGCCGTCTACTAACCCACAATCCCAAGATACAAGTCCACGTACTCCTCAGTCATCGTATAGCTCCTATAGCCATCCATCTCCTGCCCCAGCTCCGTCAATCCACATACAGCAACAGCATCCTTCTCCTATATCCAATCCAGCTATACCTGGACCTCCCCGTAGCACCATAGCTCAGTCGCTGTTGCCGCTTGAAAATCGAGGGCATTATCGGGGAGATGGCGCGCTCGCAGCCCTTGGGCCATACATGACAGCTGAACCTGGCACTGGGCTAATACCCTTTACAATTGACCGAGATTCTGGGTCGATGAAAGCCAAGATAAAGCGAGAAAAGAATAGCAGTGCTTCCAAAAGATTCCGGCAAAGGAAGAAGGTCGTGGAAGCAGAGCAATCGCAAGCTATTAAAAGACAAGAGGAGGAAATTAAGAGCCTGACGGAAGAAAGAGATTTCTATATCAGGGAGCGTAACTTCTTCCGGGATATGTATGCGAGAACTCCTGGTGCCAAAATACCTCCGCGACCACCGTCACCTCGCTCTTTCAAACCTCGTGCTACTCCGCTTGCTTCGGAGGATGAAGGGGAACATACCTCATTAGATGCAGATGACGGGGGGAGCGGTGCAGCAGGCCGAAATGTTCGACAGAGAACCGGGTCCGGGCCAGTGCATCTGCCGTACCCTGGCATACAGACTTCGGGGTCGTTTGCACCCATGTCAAGGTCTCCATCTACACATGCACCGCCAGCTCCATCGTATCCATTGCCGTACCCTGCACCATGGCGTGCACCTCCTATGAACATAAACTCACAAACCGCGGAGGGAGCCTCTGTCGCCCCATCACCAACGGCCCAAGCCAGCTCTCGGGAAACCCAGCAGCAACAAGCATCGCAGTACCCGCCTTATCAGCAACATCAATAATGATGGCCACACTAACGTCCTATGCTATATACTACCGACCAAGAGCTGGACCTCTTCTGGTACTATATATTTGTATATGCACAGACCCCATATACGTTTTGATATAATCTCACTATTAACTAATTTAATCCTCAAGAGGACCTAATTCCCCTTTCCCTAATTCTGCCCCTGTTCACGCTTCGTTTTTATTCCTAGTTTTCTCCCCTTTTTTCTTATGGTCATCTTTAATATATATGTTTGGGCAGGAACGGAAGCCAAAAAAAAAATTGCCCTGGGAACCGCAGACTTACATCATTACTACGGTAGGAAGAGGGCAACCTCTACTGGAAGGCGTCGAACTGTTGACTTTTTTTTCCTCTCATACTTCCCATGCTTTTGGCCTGGCTCTGCATCTTTCTTGTTCTTTTCATTTTTTTGAACGTCTCTCTCTGATAAGGGTTCCGTCATACCACTATTTCCTTCTAATGTCTTTCGTTATTTCTCTTCCCCCATCCATCAATGGACAAGGCATGGGTGCTGGCCCCCTCTACCCTATGAAATCAGCCTTGATGCCTATTACTTGATTAGGCCAGCCCATGAACTTTCTTACTCTCGTTTTTCTTACTGTCTAGTTTTTGAGTTGCTACATAGCATACTCCTTTTTTTTTTTTTTTTTTTCAACCCTCTTTGTATTGATACCCAGGGTGGCACAATGCTTTACTTTTTCCTGTACTCGAATATCCCATCTCTGGTTCTCATTTCTATATGTTCTCTCTTCGGGCGCGCTGCTTTAGAATCTCTTTCCTTACCGATCCAGCTTGGTTTATCTTTATTGCCCGTCTCTCTAGCCCGTTCAACAACCCAATCCAACAGCCATGGGGGCGTTGGATGCATGTCCCTGGCGTCAACCATGAGTTATAGTTGCGCGGGGTACGGGGCCCCAAAAAAAAAATACAAAAAGAGAGCGGAAAAAGGAAAGAAACCAGGCGGCAGACTCGGCATTTTCTTTCTATATTGACAGTTTATCTTCTATTTCATATACTGATAGCGTGGGGGGGCCTTGGTCGGGAAGACGGAGAGGGCGGAGGTGTTCTTACATCCTGTTTCATATGTAACCAATAACCGTCTAAAACTGTCGGGAGTCGTCTGTTGCCTTTTACCTCTTGCTGTTGGAGGTGGTATACTTTTCTTTAGTTAAGAAATTGGGTTTTATATTATTCTGTTCTTCAACGCTTCTTTTTTCCAACAAAATCACTGTTAATTTCAGACGTTAAACCGTGGGCGCAGGTATCGGGTGCTCCCGACCGAACTGGCGGGGGCCCAGAAGTTACTTGATTTACCATTCAGTCCAGGTTTAACCCCTTATAAGTTGAATTCCTTTGTCTCTCCTGCGTCCGTCTCCCGGGGGGGATTCCCTTTGTCGTCCGTCGGCTATTGCTGAGGCCCGGCAAGCCATCCGAGGCTCGGTGTGTGCGTGAGCAGGACACAGAAAAAAGGGGATGAACGGCGCCTTATCACATCACACAGCAGGCCGCGTCACTGCGTCAGAACCGGCCTTCCGAAGATGCACAATGCAGGCCAAGACTGTGGGATACGGCGAAAAGATTTACGATGTACGAGAAAGAAAGAGATCCAGGCTATTCCCTCTGTTTCCATGGACCCGGAACCTCCTGCATATACATGGCACATTGGATTATCAAAACTCGCTCTCCTTGGCCATGTTTGTTTGTTTGCTCGTTCTTTTTTTCTCAACCTCCTTTTATCCTCCTTTTTTTTATACCAGAAAAAAGGAAAGAAAGAGATTACATAATGGTATATCACGTGAAATTAAGGTTGTAGATCACTTACATAATAAGGGCTTGTTCGGAAGCCCCATCGGTCCGGGCGTCATCTTAAACGCTTTAGGCGCGACGTATATAAGCGGGCGTCTAGAAAACTCCCCCCCCCCCCCCAAAAAAAAAAAGGTTTTCGGTTTTCACTTCATCTTCTTCGACTTCAAAGGCCTACCTTTGCTCTCCCTTCTGCATCTTCTCCCTCTCAGCCAGGCTCTTTTCCCCGCGATGTCTGCCTGTAGCTCTCGATGCGACGCTGTCGCTTCCTCTCGGACCCCACACTCATTGGCGGATTTTGGCTACTGACCAATCAGACTGCGAAACTGCACGCCGTGCCACACTCTTTGCAGAGAAGCGACCGCGATATAGCCCAGGATGTTTTTTAATTTATTTTTCACCTTTTTTTCCTCTTTCGGCTCGCACGAAGAGATGGTGGGGAGATACCATGTCGACCGTCGACCTTATTTACATAAATAGCCAGCCCTTTCTCCTCGCAAGCGACCTGGCCAACGGAGCCCGTCTTACCAGGCTGATTAGAACAGGCTGATATATATATATACGCCTTCAAGATGCCGCCCATGGCTACTGTCCTGTTTACGACGTTGGCCCTGTCTGGTGCCCTGGTGTATGTCGATATGGGCTATTCCCCCCCCCCCCCCTCGTCGTCCGATGCTGACTCTACCCTTTGTAGCAGTGCCGTTGCTGTGCCCGAGGAGGCCAACGCGGCCTCGTTCTGTAGCTCTCCCAGCCGCGGATATAGCTGCTTCCCTCAATACTCTCAGTTCTGGGGCCAGTACTCCCCTTACTTTTCGCTGGAGGGCCGCTCTGTCGTCCCCTCGACCGTCCCCGCCGGCTGCAGGATCACCTTTGCCCAGTCCCTTCAGCGACATGGCGCCAGGTACCCCACCAAGAGTAAGAGTGCAACCTACTCGGAACTCATTGAACGCATCCAGAATGATGCCACCGCATTCAAAGACGAGTTTGCCTTCCTGGAAGACTACACCTACGATCTTGGATCCGATGACATGACTCCCTTTGGCGAACGCCAACTGTACGACTCTGGCATCAAGTTCTTCCAGCGGTATCGATCCCTGGCCAAGGACGCCAAACCGTTCGTCCGAGCTGCTAGCTCTGAGCGGGTGGTTCTCTCGGGCCGTAAGTTTGTGGACGGCTTCAACAAGGCCAAGGGAACCGACAAGGGCGGCCTCACCCAGCTCGACCTCATCATCAGTGAATCGAACCGTGGGAAGAACCCCGTTGCCCCCGGTGGCTGCGAGGCCTTCGACAATGACGATACCGCCGACAAAGTGAGCGATCAGTTCCAAAGTACGTTCATCCAGCCGATTGTGGACCGTGTCAACAAGAAGTTACCGGGGGCCAACATCAAAGCTGGCGACATTAAAAGCCTTATGGCCATGTGCCCCTTCGACACCGTTGCCCGTACCCCGGATGCAAGCAAACTGTCCCCCTTCTGCCGTCTCTTCTCCCACGAAGAGTTCCGTCACTACGACTACCTTGAGACACTCGGCAAGTTCTACGGCTACGGGCCCGGAAACGGCTTTGGCCCAGCCCCCGGAATCGGCTATGTCAACGAGCTCATTGCAAGGCTCACCAACTCGCCGGTCCGCGACCAGACAACCGTCGACCACGAGCTTGACGACAACCCCAAGACCTTCCCTCTCGGTCTTCCTCTCTATGCCGACTTCAGCCACGACAACAGCATGACCGTCATCTTCACCGCCATGGGCCTTTTCAATGCCACCAAGCCTCTTTCCCCCGAACATATCACCAACCCTGCCGATGCGAACGGCTACTCCGCCTCCTGGACCATTCCATTTGGCGCCAGAGCCTACTTTGAGAAGATGGTCTGTGACCATTCTCCCGTAGCCAAGCAGGAATATGTCCGTGTTCTGCTCAACGACCTGGTTTTCCCGCTCCAGGGCTGCCATGCCGATATGTACGGCCGATGCAAACTGGAGGACTTCATTAACGGGTTGACCTACGCTACCTCTAATGGAAACTGGGATCAGTGCTAGGATATTTGCACCCTGCCCTTCTTTTTTCTCATCACTTACGAATGATGAATATCACATAAGTTGATAGACGCATTAATAAACTCGCATTAATACAACTAGCCGATAGAATAAATCTATAGTATCTTGAGATGTTTCCATCGAAAATATAAATCACCCCTTATCATTTCTCTTTAATATCCGGGGTGACGGGATGACGGATGTGGCTTGCAGGGATCCTACAGAGGTTGACATATGGAGCAAAGAGATGTTTGTAAAGCCCGGGGGTACTCCAGAAGCAAGTCCTCGACCATCCTCCGTCTGTAAGCTGACATAAACATGGACACGTGATGCATAACTGTATGACACGTGACCTTCCCCGCGCTCTTCGTTGCTGCGACAGTTTTTAATATAGAAGAAACGCTGAAGACATAAACATATAAACGTGCATGGATGGTGCATATTTCTATCGGCAAGCTGTGTTTATATATGCTTATACTTGCATATCCTGTGTGCGTATAAGGTACTGCAGGCTGTACCTTGGGCTGGACGAAGGATGCGACAGCCGAACCAAGTCCTAACGGTAGAATCTATAACCCCAAAAGACAGGAAGAAAAAGACAAAGTAGATAGAAAATATTATAAATCATCCCGCCGTCGTCTTTCTCGAAGAAGATGGCGTGATGTGCTTGCTTACCTCATCGAGTGGCCTTCTCGGCTTCTCTTTTTATATCTCGAACTTCTCCATCTTTTTTTTCATCTTCCTCCGTCTTGCATCTTCGTCTTCATCAGTCTCCATCGTCCGTCTTCTGTCGACTCTTCAATTCCATCGTCAGGCCGTCTGCTCCGTATAACTAGCTACAATGGCTGAACGCAGTGCTCCGTAGGCGCCTCCCGCCCGTTCACCCCGCACCTTATCGATTGTGCTAACAACCAGCCATTCCTGCAGCCTCCGCCTGGGATCTACCGCCCCAGACTTCAAAGCCGTCACCACCAAGGGCGAGATCAACTTCCACGAGTTCATCGGTGACAGCTATGTCATCCTCTTCTCCCACCCGGTGCGTTTTGCCTTGGAGTTCGCAGAGTAGTCACAAGGTGGGGGCCGGCATCGTATCTATACACGGTTATACTGACAGGCAGACAGGACGACTTCACCCCAACCTGCACCACCGAACTTGGTGCCTGTGCCAAACTAGAGCCCGAGTTCACCAAGCGTAACGTCAAGCTTATCGGTCTGGTGCGTCAATTACTGCCATGGAGGGGAAGACCCATCCGTCTATGAGCCCGCGGAAGCTAACGGTGGCACGTAGTCTGCAAACAGCCTCAAGTCTCACCATGACTGGATCAAGGACATCGACGAGGTCACTGGCTCGCACCTGCAGTTCCCCATCATTGCCGATGCGGACCGCAAGATCTCCTATGCCTATGACATGATCGACTACCAGGACACCACCAACGTCGACGAGAAGGGTCCGTCTCTCTATGTCCTTGACATGTAAAGCTAGAGCACCTCCTGACACGCTTTCCCTTTTTTAGGAATGGCCATGACCATCCGTTCTGTCTTCATCATCGACCCCAAGAAGAAGATCCGTCTGATCATGAGCTACCCAGCCACGACCGGCCGCAACACTGCCGAGGTCCTCCGCTGCATCGACGCTCTGCAGACCACTGACAAGAACACCGTCAACACCGGTATCAACTGGAACAAGGGCGAGGATGTCATCATCCCCCCCTTCGTCAGCACCGAAGACGCCACCAAGAAGTTCGGCGACGTCAGAGTCGTCAAGCCGTGAGTTTCTCCCTCTCTCATTTTGTCGTCTCTCCAGCATAAGCTGACCTATGTAGATACCTCCGATACACCACCCTCAAGGAATAAATCATGTATCTAATGCAGTGTAAATAAATGAATAAATAATCGTAGTCTCCTCTCGTTGTCCATCTTTCTTCTCCTCTTCTTCTCCTCTTCCTCGTCTTCAGGGGCTTTTGCACTTTTTTATGTCCCAAAGCGGTAACTGACGTGCCAAGCATCCCACTTCAACTTCTTTTCAACTTCATCTTTTCAACTTCATCTTTTCAACTTCGCCTTCATATCAACGTCAACTTCTTCTCTCTCCATTGAACAAGTCCAGCTCGTCTCGTCTTCTACTCCAGCGTCTCTACATTATATCAGAGCGACTTGTGGTCCCGCCGCAGAAAACCCACTCCGCGCCGTTTCAGATATCCCTGGGGGGTCCTGGTAGACCAACCGGCTCGCCCACTTGGTTCGTCCGGGCTGCATTGTCTTGTCTGCTTCCTTTCTTTTTCTTTTCCTTTTCTCGCATCTGGGAACTGCATGGATAAGTCCACCAGCTCACCTAACGCTGTGGAAATTCGATTGGTATCGGTTCGACCGTTGGCTGGGTAATATTGGCTGGGTTCGCTGGCTGACTCGAGGCGAGGTATGTTACCTGTACAAAAAATGTTATACACCCGATTATACCACATTTATACGTTTATATATATACACACATGCCTTTACTCATGGCGTCCGGTTGGGTTGGTTTTACTGACATCATATCATGGCAGGCTCAGAGCAGTTATCCTCGCCACTGGGCTTTGGCTCAGTATCAGGATCAGGATCGGGCCCCAGGCTGTCCATCTCGCCCTTGTTCAATGCAAATACGAGTTCGACGCCAGGCGCACCTGCAAATGCACCTACAAATGCATCACACACAAATTCGCGCTCGAGCCGTTTTGCGTCTGTGAAAAGATACCTTCGAACCGAGCTGAGCAGAAGCAGGAGCAAGAGCAAGACCAGGAACGAGATCGGAGCGACCACAGACGAGATCAACGCTAGCAACAGCAGCAGTGAGAGCGAGAACAGGGCCGCAACCGAGGCGAGATATCGTTCTTCCACCGTCCCTTCATCACATAACAACAATCCGCCGCAGTCTTGGTTTTGCGCAGACTCCTCGCCCAAGAGCGAAGAACACCAACAACAACGCTCGTCACCCTTGATAGACAACAGCAGACACTCCAGTCTCCCACTGCCTACACCCCCTCTGCACCGCCAGACAGACCACCCCATTTTCACCCTCCCTCTCCCACCGCCACGGCCACGGGGATCCTCGCTTTCGCGGCCACAGCAGCTTGCCTCTGGTATCGATATACCGCTGCCACTCTCACCGCCGCTCTCTCCCACAACTCTAGGCCCGTCTGAACCCTCGCCATCTGCTTCAACTTATGGACGCTCGCAGGAATACATACACGCACCACCACCGCCGCCGCCAAACGTCTTATATCCGTCAACGTCCATTCTCTCCCGGTTGAGCGAAACGCCTGACATCGCCATGGCTTCAACCAGACGTCCTTCCTCGTCCAGAGGAGGAGACACTGCTAACCCCAACACTATCACCGGCAGCAGCTTACCCATACATACACATTCACATTCGAATTCACAGTCACAGTCACAGCCGCAGCCCCAGTCCCAGTCCCAGTCGCAGTCTCAGTCGCAGTCGCAAACACACACACAGACACAGAATGCGACTACACTGACGGCTGGTCCGACAAACCTCTCTGGCCTGGTATGCAACGTCCACCGCACCACTGGCCGAGAGCCACACGCCCTCGTCGGCGCCACAACCACTATACTGGGCGACAAACTATACGTATTTGGCGGCCGGCTGCTATCCCGGGCCCGACCAGAGCTTACCTCTGACCTGTACGAACTAGACTTGATCAAACGACACTGGACAAAGATCCATCCCACCGGCGATGTGCCTCCTCCACGCTACTTTCATAGTATGTGCCCCCTAGGCGACACTAAGCTCGTCTGCTACGGTGGTATGTCCCCCCGCTCAGCAGTGACTGGCCACCCGCCCACGAACATCAGCTCGTCCCAATCGGCCGGACAGGATGCCCAGCCTGAGGTCGTCGTCATGTCTGATGTGCACATTTACGACGTCGTGACACGGACTTGGACGCATATCAACACTGCAAATACCCCACAGGGGAGATACGCCCACTGCGCAACTATCCTGCCCTCGTCAGCACCATTCGTCTCCGCCAACGCTCCCATGACAGCTATCCATAATAATCCATCTACCTCTAACTCAAACCCCCACCAGGGCTCCATTGGTGTCGAGATAGATGGCTACGGAGGCGCCGAGATGGTTGTTGTCGGCGGCCAGGATAGCTCAAATCACTACATAGAGCAGATTAGTGTGTTTAATCTACGTAGCTTGAAATGGACAGCCACCAGCCCCCTGGGCCGCAGCTGTGGTGCGTACCGTTCCGTTGTTGTCCCCCTGACGGGGATGTCGGTCAACGATCTGGGAGCCGAACGGACAGAGAAAGATCTCGGAAATGTTGTCAATAATTATGATGGAGGGGTACCTGGGTCCGCAATGCTGATATATTCAAACTACAACTTCCTAGACGTGAAACTAGAACTTCAGGCGCGTCTGCCTGACGGGAAGCTCGTCGAGAAAGCCATGGACACATCCGTCTCTCCGCCTGGTCTTCGCTTCCCCAATGGCGGCGTAATCAACGGCCATTTCGTCGTGAGCGGCACCTATCTCACCGCTTCCAAGCAGGAATATGCTCTATGGGCATTGGATCTAAAAACCATGACCTGGGGTCGGATCGACGCCGGTGGCTCTATCTTCTCGAGCGGCAGCTGGAATCGCGGTATCATCTGGAACAGGAGAAGCACTTTCGTTATCCTGGGACACCGGAAGAGAAATCTGGTCGAGGATTATAACCATCGTCGAATCAACTTTTCACATATATGTATGGTTGAGCTGGAAGCCTTTGGGCTCTACGAGAACCCAAGGAGGGCTGCGCCGACGTCTGGATATATTTCTGTTAGTGCCCCTGCTCTGCGGCCTTCGTTGCAGGCAAAGTTCTCGGTCCAGTGCTCTGGCGGACGGCCTTACTCTGCCGCAGCTGAGAAACTCGGGCTGATGGCGCAGGCATGCACTGAGCTGGCGGACATGGACCTCCTCACCATCGGTGGTGAGCGTATCCCCGTCAGCTCCCACATCCTTTCCCGTCGATGGGGCCCTTACTTCGTCCAGCTCCTCTGCGAAGCTACAGCCGTGGCCGGTGACAGCATAAACGACGCAGCAACACTCCGTCAGCCAAATGCTGCATTGAATAGTCGAAACTCGACAATCACCATCACACCGTCGTTGAGCACTGCCAGCCAGTACTCTACCGCTACAACTTTAGTCAACACCATGTCCAACAACAATAACAACTCGTCCTTGGGCGGCACTAACAACAGTAACAACAATGCTAATAGCCACAAAGACCACTCTGGACGACCACCAGGGTCTTCTTCGTCCTCCTCCTCTTGCCTGTCTCGCGCATCAAACCTTGAAATTCCGTCTGCACACAACCTTTCTCCCGCTGTACGGCCTCGAACACTCTACCTGCCACACACGTTCCTCACTGTACAGCTCCTGGTCCACTACCTCTACACATCTTCATTACCTCCTGTCGGTTCCGCGCTCTGCACGCCCCAGATTCTCTGTTCGCTCCTCCAGCTGGCCCGACCATATCAAGTTGACGGTCTTCTCGAAGCCACCGTAGAACGGCTCCACCAAGTCCTCGATGGCCGTAATGCTGCTGCCGTCTTCAATGCCGCCGCCATGGCAGCTGGCGGTGGCCGTGGGACCAACCCCTCCGGCACGTTCGATGGGACCATGGATTCTGTCAGCGACGCGCATGCCCACTCCTATGGTCGCTCTCACTCCCGCTCGCAGTCAAGCACGGCGGACTACCGCCGCCCAAGCAATGCGACAGACGGCATTAGTTCCTTCAATTCATCGGATGCAGAGTCCATCGACAGACCAAACACGGCCAGCAGCACGGCATCTGCCTCCAGTGTCACCGCAGGCCGCGGCGTCCAACGGCCCGCCAATCTTCGCATCAACACCAGTTTTGGTAACGGCAGAAACCGCGCCGAGTCTGACAGTGCCAGCATTCCCAACTCTGCGTCCACGAACAATAGCAATGGTGGGCTAGGCTTTACCGATGCCGAATTGGCACAGCAATCTCAACGCGGTCGAAACAAGACCGGCCGAGATGTCTGGACGGCTGACATCAGCAGCGTTGTTGGTCTGCAGAAGCGTGGCCTCAGAGGGTTGATGGAAGGGCGTCGTATGAGGGAGAGAGGTGCCAGCAGCGCTGATACCCAAGACCAAAATACTTCTGGAGTTATCCCTGTCAAGATGGGCCTGGGGATCTCCTGATCGACCTCTCTTGAGGGCGATATCTTACACGATCTACTGTTTTATATCCGGAGTCCTTCTATGTCACGATTATCTTTTTCTTTCCCAGTCATGGAGTCAAGGAAGGGGGATTACCAAGAGAGAGAAAAAATACAAAACAAAACGTCCATTCGCATGGAGCGTACTACGAATTCCACGGTTGATATTGACTTGGCCATTCTGGTGTTCTCGCGGATTTTGATTTAGCACGGAATTATCTGCCTCTTCTTTTTGTTCTACAGCTCCCTGGATTTGATATTTCTTTCTGTTTTTTTTATTTTTTTTTTTATTAGATAGTTGCTGCTGGATTGCTTGCTTGCTGGACTCGGCATGAGACATGTACGGTTTATCATATTCTTTCTCAGGCTCTTTTTCCCTGTCAATATTATTTTCCTTTTCTTTCCTATATTGCTTCCGAGAGCCTCTGAAGCCGGTAATCGCTGTTTTTCCTTTCTGACATTTGAATTAGAGTCATGATAACTACATGCATATACAGATCTATTCCTCAAGGAAAATTTAAGAAAACTATTTTACCTCTGTTAATGAGAATATCCATGGAGTATTCTATAACAAAAGAGTAACAGAATAGAAACAGTTTCTTGTTAGCAGACTTCCTCCGGTGAACAAGAGTGGAAAAAAAGAAGGATACGAGTAGGAATAATACAAAAAAAAAAAACCATCGAATGCTTCAAAAACTGCTGCATGGTATCAAATTAATAAAAGTCATAAAAAAGAAAACAATGTGGAGAAGTAATAGTTCTTTTTTTTTCATTCCTTTCTTTTTCTTAGTTAAACAGTCCATCTCTTCTTCATCCCTCTCTTTCCTTGTATAATATTTATTCGCTTTCGTGGGAGGAGGCTGTGGGATCAGCCCGGCACGGCTCTGGCTAGGACACGAATGTTATCTACAAACCCCTTGATGAGATCCTCGTAGCGATTGTTCATGTCGCCAGACAAGGCGAGGTCGCCTTGTCGCCTGATCTCAGCGGAGGATATTTCTATCTCAAGTTCATGTTCAAAATCTGATGGAGGACCCTTATATGCATTGTTAGATAGGAGGCGAATCAAGACAGGGGGAAGAAAGAGACGATGTGTACGTACGTCTGATGTTCCGACTTGTGTCAGGTCGATTTGGTATGCTAGATGTCTGTAGCTCATGCGGTCTTTGTTCCGATCACCGCTTCGTTTCCAGTCGTTTGCCTGCTGGAGCTTGCTCAGGTCTCCCTCGTAGTTCATTTCCAGGTTCACGCTGATGCGCCAGTCAAGACACGTTCGGGGGCTATACACATCGAGGTCGGCAATGCGGCACTTGACGATGCGGGCTATGACGGCGCCGGAGCGGACATCTGTGGTTACGCGCACCCTTGGCTTGTGGCGTGGGTGTAGATGATGTTGGACGATGGGCGGGAGGTCGTTGGCAGAGATATCGTAGAAGGTATCACGTTCACGTTTGTGAGCGTAGGCGAGCGGGATGCGTGCTGATCCCTGGGAAATAGATGTTTTGACCGTCTCGTTGAGGAAGTTGTTCATTGCGCGGTGCTGCGCCTGTAGATATTTCAAGTACTGATATTAGCAAGAAGAAGAGTAGAAAGAATGGCAGAGAAGGGGGAGAGAGAGGAAGAATAGAATACCTGTGACATTGAGCTTTCAAAGGCAAGCCTGAGATTCGGGTCATCCTTGCTGATGACGGTCTCTGAGAGGATGGGAAGACGCAGTCTCTCGCCCCGACTCTTGTCGACCAGCCTGCCTAGCTTGGCCTCAACCTCGAGAATGGCGCCTGGTCCAACGGCTACACCTCCAGCAGGGCCGGCTCCGATGTCCTTGCGCATGACGACTTGCTGGAACAAAAAGTCACATATCAACTTAGTGACCTCTTCGGACGGGATGACGTTTGTGATAGTAGGCTCCCAGGGGCCAAGGGGGTTATCCGCAGCTGATTCCTTGTTGGCGTTGCCATTGACGGCTGCCTCACCGTCCCTTATAGGCCGAGGAGGAAGGGAGAGGCTGCCAGAGTCCGGTGCGGTATGGCGGTCGACGCTCTCGCGCTTGGGAAGCGGACGATTGACGGGGAAGACGGGAGGCGGGGCTTGGCTGCCCTTGGGAGGAATGGGCGGAGGAGTGCCGGTCGTTCTGGGGGCCTTGCAGGCGAATATGGGAGGTTGAGCGTATCTCTTGCGTTTCTTTCGAGGAGGGCACATCGGCACACGGTCTGTGGCAGAGGCCGCAGAGGGGCTGCTGTGAGGCTTAGAAGGAGTGTGCTGGAGGGTTGGTGATGTTTCCTGGACAGGCCGCCGACTGGTGGGTGAGCCGGTAGCGGTGGTGGTAGCGATATGGCCGAGAGAAGAAGGGGGAGGAGGGTGTGAGGCAGCCTGGGGAGTCGAGGGAGGATAGGACGGGCGAGCAGGAGTGGAGATAGAAGACTGGTGTTCCGTTCGGGGATGATGCTGATGGATTGTTTGCTGGGTCAATTCCTGGTCCTTATGGGGGGATTGGATCTGGTGACCTGGTTGATTGATGGCATTGGTGATGTTGCTGCTTTGGCTGCTGTTGATATCTCCGTAATGGGCTGCTCCCTGCTGGGAGACGATGGTCTTGGGGCTGACGCTGTCGAGATGCTGCTCCTTTTCCCGTTCGATAGAAAACTGCCGGGTATAGGAGTCCGTAGCTACTGAGCCGTGTCGTGAGATGGGCGTATGTACCGTAGGAGAGACTCCATCCCTCTGGCCGCCGGAGGAAGCGTCCTGACTGCCCCAGGGACTCCCAAGGCGACCTGACGGGGGAGCCTCATGTCCGGACGACGGAGGACGGACCGGATGGGGAGACGGACGGCTGTATGAGGAGCCCAGGGGAGCCAGAGGCGTCCCGGGCTGCGACCTCTGTTGTTGTGCTTGCTGCTGCTGCTGCTGCTGCTGCTGGTAGTGGTGTTGCTGGTACTGCTGCTGGCCAGGAGAGTACGGGTGGCCTGCTGGCGGCTCACGGCCAGAGGGATAGGAGAGACTGCGCACCGAGGAAGGCGAGGCAGCCGAATGGACCGAATGAGAGCGCTGCTGGGAGAAGTAGGACGAGTGCTGGGTGCCGGCGCTGGTAGGCTGAGGCGTGAAGGGCGAGGAGAGGGAGACCGCAGAGGGCGGAGGCAGCGAGGAGGCAGGGTAGGGCTCTCGCGGGACGGGCAGGACGCTGCTGGCGCGCTCGCCGGGCTCTCTTCCCGTCAGGATCGATGCGAGCGGCGGCTGCTGGTACGGCGACGGTGCGGCAGAGCTGATATAGGACGGCATGCGCTTGGGGGACTGAAGAGGAGGCTGCAGCGGATGCGCCTGCGACGGCCGTCCTCCTCCTCCGGGTCCTCCTCCTGGTCCTCCGCCGCCGTATTCAGGGTGTTGGGCCCGGTCTTCGTGGAGGCTGCCGCTGCGGAGAGGAGACTCGTCTGCTCCCTGCGAGTGTATAGAGAGCGGCCGCTGCTGCTGATGATGCTGCTGGTGATGTTGCTGCTGGTGTAGCTGCGAGCTGCCTGAGCTCCTGGCAGCGCCCACGGCCGTGTCGGCGTTGATGATGGTCTTGAGGTCCATCGCAGGAGGAAGAAGAAGGCCGTGAGATTCTCTCTTTCAGACGCTCAGCTGGCGAGACATCCTGCTCGCTGTGGCTGCGTTGGTTGTTGTTGTTTTTTTCTTCTTGTTCTGCGCGCAAGTTCAAGCTTGTCGATGTAGATAAGTTTTTGGTGATTTTTTTTTTTTTCTTTCGATAGAATTACTTTTTTCCGAGCGAGACAGTAAATAGTAAATACGAAGAAGAAGATGAGAAGTGGAAGAGAAGTCGATATAAAAGGCGTTGATGTAACTAGATTTAGAGACGATATTGACATGGAGACGAAGCTGTAACGTTTTATATTCATAAGATCAAGACCACCTTCATCGATAAGCAGGACCTTTCCCGGTAGCCATAGAAGGAGAATATCAAGTAGACACGGAGTCACTTTGGTACATGAAGAAGCCGGCAGGGTGAAAAGTAGACATAGAATAGACATGAGATAGGTAGGCATAGAGTAGACATGAAGCATCCGCCTGTTTTTCTGGTCCCTTCAAGGAACAGTCGAGACATGGTCGTCGTAGACCGACATAGATATAGATCCAAAGATGGGAGACAGACGCTATACGGACACTCCCCAGAGACCTCTTCCGCCACACACTCCGAGCCAGTCCCTCCCTGGGCCGGTGGCAGGGATATGGGGTGCCCAGCTGATGTTCGACACTTCATAGTCACATCGCCAGGCCGCCGCGGGTCCTCGTTCAAGCGTTGACGGGCCGCTGGTGCCGCCGCCGCCGCTTCCACCGCCGTGAAGGGGCTGTGGCTGCTGCGGAGGGATGGGCAGGGCAGCTGCGTTGTTCTGGTTGATAAGGTCCCAGATCAGGACCAGCGAGTCGTCGGCGCCCGTGGCGATGGTTCCACGGCGAGAGGGCGACCATTCCATGCAGTTTACGGGGGCAGCGTGGCCTTTGAGCTCCAGCAGCGCCTGGCCTGGCTGGCGGACGTCCAGCACGCGGATGATGTTGGAGTCTTGGGCAAATGTTGCCAGCAGATGGGCGTCGTGCGGTGATGCTACACCGTATATTCAGCGTGAAGCTATATATATATATTTAGATAGATACATACCTGCAATGCGCTGTAGAGGAGGAGGCCATACGGATGATTGGCCTGGAGAGAGGTCTCCCGGGCTTCCTAAAAAGGCGTTAGAACCCAAGTCTCATGGATTTACACGTAGAGAGACCTACCCTTATCGTGTTTCTCTGACGGCTCGTAGATGATGGTGCTGTGCTCCAGGCTTCTCAGATCAAACATTCTCACGCTTCCGTCTGCACCACAGCTGACGAAGACGTCTACGCTATTTGCACAGAACCGTACATCATAGACCTCCTTGTCGTGGGCAATGAGCTGTGTCTTTGCGGTGAGAGTGGGTATATCCCATATGGTACAGGTAGTGTCTATACTCGACGTAATGATCAGGCTCGGCGAGACGGCGTTCCAGTCTAGAGATGTTATAGGGGCGGTGTGTTCGGGCGTCTTGGAGTTGGAGAGGAGGGCCAGCGGAGAGAGTTTCTGTAGCGGTGGTGGACTTTTGTTGCTGGCGCTCATCCGGTTGATCGAGTTGTTGCCGTAATACTGCGTCTGGTTGGGGTTCGAGGGCAACGACCAGAGACGGAGATGGTCGCCCGAGGTAGCTAGCAGATCTGTCGACTGTTTCTGCGACGACGGAGGTTCCCAGAGGATACGTGTGACCGGGTAGGAGTGTGTGGCCTCCGCCGTCTTGACGAACTCTAGGCCTGGGTCGTTGTCAGGGTCGTTGTAGTCCCGCTCAGCGGTCTGCGCGTGGAGAATTTGTATCTATACAATTCAGTCAGCTTTTCACACACACACTCTCTCTCTCCCTCTCCCTCTCAGATATATGGATGTTAATGAACATACGTAGTTGTGGGTGTCTTCTAGGTAGCTCCCAAGAGCAATCTTCCCCGCCGAATTGGTGTTTGGAGCTGCGGGCCACTTACACCAATCGAGCGCATACAGTCCCCACGGAGCGAGGTAATTGCTATTCTTGGGCGTTTGCATGTCCCCGTTGTTCATGGCTGGAGAGGTGGCCGAGTCGTCTATCCGGCCTAGGTCCATGTGAGGGCGTATGTCCGCCAGCCCAAGCGGCGAGTACGGCGTCGACTGTCCGGCGGAAGAGGGAGACATCATGCTGGATTGCTGCTGCTGCTGTTGCTGCTGCTGCTGTTGATGGTGATATCGCTGCTGGTCTCCTCCTGGGCTAGAAGGATACGATTGCAGCTGGTTCATGGACGACTGCTTCGACGGTGTCATGGGCACCGCTAGCTGCGAGGGCACTCCTGAAGAAGTTGAGTTGTTACTGTTTGTGGGTGGCTGTCCCTGGCGGCTTGCAGGACCGGGTTGTAGGGCTCCCGGCAGAGCATTATTCTGGTGCTGCTGGTAATGCTGTTGCTGGTGATGGTCCTGTCGCTGCTCGTTCAGCGGCTTCGAGGCGTTTGCTGAAGGAATATGCAGCTCTTCTGGCTGCCGTGGAAACGTAGGCGCTCTGCTGCGGGGGCCGTCGAATGGTATACTAGGCTCGGCCATGGCTGGGTTGGGCACGAATACCGCCTCTGCGGTTTAGAAGCTGACCGGCATGCAACGGCAGGGTCTCTCGTCGTTCAGTGGCGAGGATGCGGGCATACTATGTAATATGGTCGAAGTCGTAGACGTTGTAGATGTTGTCGCGGTCGTAGATGACCGATGTTGGTGGTGGAGAGAGATGGCGAGGCCAGCGCCCGCTAGAGCTCGTCTTCTGCTTCGTCTCTCGCTTGCTCGTGTATGTTGCTATATCTTCTTCTGCTTCGTCTTCTTCTCTTCTCTTCTTGTGTCTCTTCTTCGTCTTCTTGTCTTTTCTTCGATGTCTTCAGCTTCCTCTTTTGTGACGCTGACTAAGACTTGTTCTTCTGTTTCATCTTCAACTCGGAAGAAGAAGAAGAAGACAAGAGATAAAAGAAGACGTAAAGAGATATAAAGAGAAGAAGAAGAAGAACAGATGGCAGAAGGTCGTCATGAAGCCCTGCTGCTGCTCACAGATACCTCGTCGACCTTCGCAGCGCTCAAGTCGACCTACGGCCATGCTCTATCAAACATCCTGCCAGCGCTCACAGCAGCCATAAAAGATGCCAGTCGACCGGCAGTGTTGGACGTTGCTGTTTCTGTCCACGGTCTACGTCCTCAGTCTGACGGGAGGAAGCCATTCGTCCAGCTCCAGCGGTTCCTGGCAGACTTCTACAAACTGCTGGCCACTGTCAGTGTCTCCGTCTCTGTCGAGCTCGATGGGCCCGGGGGCATCGATGCCAGAGTCTTCTTCCTCGACCCGGAGCTCGAGTCACTGGCTGATTCATACCCTTATGGCCCTATCGTGGGCATGACGAGTCTACTGTCCTCGAACAGGTCTTGGGATACCGTCTATCTACCGTCGGGTGGTGGTGAGGGGGTGGCCAGGCTTGCCTCCATGTTCAGGGCGGACGGGAAAAGAATCACTGATACTCGTACGCTGGAGCTGAAGCCGCCAGGGCCGGGCCAGCAGCAATCGACAGCTCTCATCATGGATAGCGAGGCATCCCAGCTTGCTGCGGCACATTTTTCCGTGGCCGTGGGCGGGACGTTTGACCACCTACACGCTGGGCATAAACTACTTCTTACTGCAACGATTCTCGCTCTAGATACTTGTTCGTCCCAGCTGCCCGCTCAAAGACAGAAGAGAGTCGTCACGGTTGGCATCACCGGTGATGAACTGCTGGTGAACAAGAAGTATGCTGAATTCCTAGAGTCATGGGAGGAGCGGTGGAAGGGTGTCTGGGCCTTCCTTCGATCGATAATTGACTTCTCTACAACACCTGGAGAGGTGGGCATCAAGCGCGAGTTCGAATCAGGTCCCAATGGCAGACGGGTAGTTGTCTCACTGTCCCCTGATCTAGAGGTCAGGTTCGTCCAGATTGCTGATCCCTTCGGCCCTACCATCACCGACCAGGACATCACCGCCTTGGTCGTATCTAAGGAAACCAGGTCCGGCGGAAAAGCCGTCAACGATGAGAGGTTGAAAAAAGGATGGCCGGCCCTGGAGGTTTTTGAGGTCGACGTCCTGGATTCTACTGACGGTGTGTCTGTGTCGGAAGATAGCTTCGAGGCCAAGATATCTAGTACCGAGATCAGACGTCGACAGATGAACCGAGCCAAGGGAAGCCTCTGAAGAGGCATACATCTGCCACCTTACTATGTACGGTGCTACCTCAATTCTGAAGTGACCTCCCTGTATATATAATATACCATATGCCTACTCCTCAAAGAAATATTATACCCCTGAAGAAGCAAGCTCACACCTCCTTTTCTTCTGTCCTCCTTTTATCCCCTTGTTTCTGTCAGGCAAATCCCCCTGCATGATTATTCCTTATCCCTACCTTGACAGAGATGTAATTCCTTCACACCGCCTGCTTGCTGCATTGCCTCCTGGCCCAGGAATACCAGGAGTTGTTTTTGTCATAATATATCTGCAGCACCTGCAGTATCTGCATGGCATAGTACCATCATCCCATGTTTGGTTTTCATGCAGGGGGGCTGCCAAACAGCATTGTAATGTGTTCGAAGTAAGCTTTTTTTAGCCGTAAGTCGTCATCCATACAGATATGTTTGGTAAACGCCTGAAGCTTTTCACTATTAAGTTGCCAGCTCAGTCCCGTTGGATAAAAGGTCAATTGCCCGTTTTCAAGCTTATTATGTAGTCCGCAAGGTTGGTACTGGAGCTTGACACTGTATATGTGTTGTGCGCGAATTAATGCGCATATTCAACCAGCTTTTTGTATCCCTGTAACGCATTGCATCTACCTAGGCACGGAGTATGATAACTAGGTAAGGTGATCTGGCATGGAGGTGACTTTTAAATCAGGGATATACCAGTCGCAAATGCCGCCCATATGAGGTGCTCTAGGGCCACGTAGCTTATCAGAAGCTGACGATAATACATTATGACTGTGAATTTGTCGATATGTTTCGTCCACATCACTTCTTCTTGCAGGCCAAGCACGTACCTCCATATATAGATATGTATATATACATATCCAATTGGTGGGGGCCACCAGGACACGTCTTAACCTGACTCGGGTAACTGCGGCACGAATCAACGACACGTAATTGAGGTTATCGACTGGTATTGAAGTATGCTGGAATATGTGATGTGCTAGAATATGACAATCAACATTTGGGTTTTGGACCAGGGGAAAATCTCCTGCTTCAAGTTCGTTTCCACAAAGTAAAAAAGCTTGTCACTGATGTTTGCAACTCCAGCAGCACTTATTATGCCCCATTGGTATGACCACAACATTTTGTTATGTAATAAGTAATAGGAAAATTTGCGGCGTAAGGAATTCTCTGTATCTTATCAAGGCCTCGTTTGCCACGAACTGTGTCAGCCATAGATTCTGATATATTGGACGTACGATCTAGGTGTGCTTAATGCGTTGATGTGCATGGGTTATAAGTAATCCAGGCGGAGAAAGGCTGGATATGGATTTTTTCTTCTGTAACTACCCTTGGCGTCTTGTGAATTGTTGAGCTGTACGGATGCTTGCGATTTACCCTAGCTGCTGCTTAGTTGGCAGAGGAAAAACCTGCATGCTAAACAAATCACTTCTTGGATGCCATTCTTAGCATCCCCCAAACCCTAGGGATCAACAGGAATCACAAGTTCGAATTGGGACCCCTCGGCTCGTTAGATGAATAGCATCTTAATGCAGTTAGGCGTTAAATCATTCCCTAGCGTTCCTTTGAGGTTTGATCTGCTAAGAATTAGCAAATGTGACCCAATGGAGGCGACTCCGTCACAGGGTTCACCAGTGATATGAATGAAACGTACTCCGCCCTGTCTGCAGGGGAAATCGAGTTTTCGAGCCGGCTAGTAGCCATAAGGTACATCAAACATAGGGCGTTGGTACGAACAGCCTGGTATAAACATAAGTAGAATAGGTTATTGTCCATGGGGGAAGGGCGTGATCATGGAGCAGGAAACGGAGTATGGATAATAGGCAGGTAAAGTAGAGGTACATATTGTACATCGTCAACCCTGCAGGGGTAGAAACAACGTTGTAAATAACGGCCGCAGATTCGAGATTGAGCAGGCACCCACAATAGCATCTTGAAAGCAGGCATCAATAACGGTTTATGTGAGAATTGCGGTATCAACTTGTGCATGACTTTATTTACCGCTGAAATAAATAACCGTCCGCCTTAGAATTAGCAGATGCTTATTTGTTTCAGGAGCAGGATCGATCCGAGATGGTGGGTGGCAGGGACACCCAAGGCTATTGTTATAAGCAAGCGCTGTGCTTACAGGGGGTTGCGCCAGGCCACAAGGATGAGGCCGGAGGCAGACAACGGGCATATCTCACGGAGGCAACTGGAATAATTTAGGGGTAAACTGACGATACCTAACGATGCTTGATGGCACTCATATCTGACGAGGTTGAATGTAGGAGCTAGTGGCCATACCAGCTGTGCTACGCGACCACAACTATGGGTGTGGTATGGGGGAAACGAGAGTATGACAGTATCTCTCACACGACATATCACCGGAGAGAGGGGGGGGGCTAGGGAGGAAAAGTGACCTCTCGAGGGAACAAAGGGGTGGCGAGCCGGGGCAGGCACGGGATTGGTAGGGAATATAACCTGGCTCACCTCTTTAAGAGAGGCTTTCGGGGACATGCGTTGGTAAAAGGGAGCACCGACGTATCACGTAGCCCTCCAGCATCCTTTGGAAACTATTAACGCTCGTGATTTGAGTGAAAGACCAGGGACTCATGCCAGCTGTTGCTTGTCACTTGGTTGTTGTTTGTGCAACCCTACTCTCTGCCTTTTTGAAAGAACAATATTCGCCTTTTAGTAACAGTACGCCTCTTGTTCTCCTTCCGTTTAGGATGTTGCTCCTTTTTTTAAGCATTGTAGCGTAGGCAGGAATTTAAATGCCGGGTGGGCCATTGCTGCCATAAGCTGCATTTCTGTTCCGCGAACATTTGGCTTTAGAGGCAGTAAAGGCATAAATAACTGATTTCAAGGACAGGGCACAATTGAATTGCAATGCAGTAAGATATATCACTGAGATGTAGGATTAGTCGTGGTTTATCAGTTGGAGCTAGATTTGTCAATGCGCCTCAACGTAAAATAGCCATGAAGAGGAACGAGGCCACGCCTCTATCGTCATGGTAGCCAACATTCACACAGCATTTTGTTTCGAGGATAGACCCCAAAGATCCGGCAAAGGTGCAGCACATGATGCTAAGGGCATCAAGCATAACAAGCTGATTCGGCCTGCGGGTTGTCATTTCTCGCAATAATTCTTTGTCAAATCAACACCTGCCGTCTTTTCTCCTAAATCCGCCGCTCAAGGCTGCTGGTGGCTCAAGATTGGGCTTTGTACTGAAAAGAACCAGACGGAACTGAGTCGGCGTGCCTCTTCCAGGGTATGCTGCATGTTTGAGATGATCACTTCACGAACAAGGCTGCATGATCAGTCCTAGCATCTCTGATGATAAGCAGATATTCGCACTCACACCATAGGTGTAGCTACTTCTCCTTCTTCCTCCTTGTCTCTCCTTTTCCTCTGTAGTTGTAGTTGAAAGCCGAAAAGTTCGAAGGTGGTTGGTTTTTCCAAAAAGGGCTGACCGCCTTGGGGTTTCTGCCACTCTCTCTATTTCTTGCTTCCTCAACCAACGTCAAGTTCGAGTTGAAACTTACACGTCGTCGTGATGTTAAGCAGAATCAAGCATCGAGTTTACGAAGGACAAGCCACCTATCCAAGAGGGTAACGTACAGTTTTCTCTGTCTCACGTGGCAGCTGGCGCTAACAGAAACAGTTTCTCCTCCGTTAAATCAATATTATGTCCCATACCTTGACCCTGTTCCAGGTCATGTTTCCAAGAAGACCCCGGCATACACCCAGTCTCTGTTTGGCTCAAATGCTGGTCGTGATTCGTCTACTTCGTGTGAAATTGCCAACGGGGATGTCTGCCGTTGCAGCAGGTTTGACTTGTGCATCGTCCAGGGATTGAGCTGTGCAGAAAAGCCCAAACACGAGAGGTGCAGAAGCTCCATGGGCCGACATGAAGGTTCTCTCAAAGACGATTCGCCCATTACAGCCGCGCCACCTCTCCTGTTGTGCCTGCCCCCTCTCTCCTCGCTCACGATTCGCAGCGGCCCGCCCTGCTGCCGCTGCTGGCTGGGGATCGGCTGGTAGCTTTTTTGGTCATGTGACCTGATGGTGGGTGAGGAGTGTCGAGGATTGGGCCAGCGAGTCTTCCGTCTCTCCCACCTGCCCTACGTGCAGACGACGTGCAGTCGTGAAGGAAAGCACCCGAAGAGTGGAAATAGTTACAGCACGAGAAGCAAAAAAGAAAAGAAAAGAGAGAGGGAGCCAGGCGGGAAAAAAGAAAAGAGAAGAGAAAAAAAAAAAAAGGTAAAGGGAGCCCTGTCTGATCATGCACATATCTGTCAATCCTACTTGACAATGTGGCCAGAAGTGAGAAGGTAGTCGCTTGGAATTGTTCGGTTTTATATCCTGCGTCTTGCCCTGCCAGCTGCCGTCTTTGCGCTTGTAACCTGTTTATCTAGCCCGAAACGGTGTATATAACACCTCAGCGCTCTTGACCTTCTCCTTTTCTAACTCCCCCCCCCCCCTTTTTTTTTCGCTATATATACTCCGTATTTGTGTCAATTACTCCGTATAACCTGTCTGTCCCCTCTCTCTGCGCGCTCAAACAACTCCCTTCCCTCGAGGTGCGGTGATCGTGTGCCTAGAGACTTATCTCGTGATTTCATAGTGCCATATGACCTACCCCTAGCCCCTAACGGGTCAATCCCTCTATTTCACACTTGGTTCATTTGACTGTGTTACTGTCATCATTTTGGACCAGTTCTGAATTTGGCCTCACAGAGCGAGCTAATGATCCGAAACTTACATCGATACTGAGGCGGTAGGGAAAAAAGGAAAAAGAAGGGGGGAAAACACTGCTGGTAAAGGCGGGAAGACGGAATGATGGACAACGAACCGCAAGGGATACTGCGCTTGTCGAACGAGCTGTTGAAGGAGATCCTGGATCACCTCACACGAGATCCGGAAAAGTGTACTAGCGTCGACCACCGCGCATACCTTTCTTTCGAGAGCGTTAGGAGGCCAAGCCAGCCAGATCCCCCGCGTTTATGGTTAGAGGGCAAAAATGGGTATCATGAAGATCTTCGCAGCGATGTTGATCGATTCCGAGAGGTCTGCAAACGGTTTTCGGAAGTTGGCGCAGCGCATAAGTTTAGTCGAGTGGTCGTCCGGTTTTCGGAGCCTGCGTTTAAGAAGCTTGACCAGCTGTCAAGCATCCCGCACCTGGCGAGACATGCGAGAACCTTTACATATATAATTCGGTCATTTTATGTAGAAGGTAAATCGAATGCCTACCCTTTGCTTGTATTTTCGAATTTGTATTATGTCTTCTACAGAGAAATGCTCACCGACATCTATTCAATAGGAAGGGACAATATACCCCAGCTGCTTTCAACGGCCGATTCAAGCAAACTCAATCTAGCTGAGCACATACATCGCCTAGAGGAGCAGAAGAGATTGGTTGCGTCGAACGAAGATTTACACTCGCTAACTCGTGCAATGAAGTCATTCACTGCACTTCAGCATGTGAAGATCCTGAGAGTTCAAGATGAAGCTGAACGTGATTTGCGGTCATTTATCGATAGACACGATAACCCATTAGACCCATTAGTAGTGGTCGACTGGAACCCTGCGTGCATTCGTGCTATTCAAAATGTTGGTCTAGCGCTGCTGGAGGCAGGATCTCCTGCCAATCGCTTTTCGGGACCACAGATAAACCCACAGGCAACACTTACGTTGAAAAGGGCGCCCGTTCCGCTGCTCTCTGCCCTCGCAACCAAGTTAACATGTCTTGAAATCCATTTTGATGCAATGAGATATGTTAATGCGGAGATGAGGGAGCTCTCAGAGGTTTTCAAGACGTTATTCACCGCAGCTAAAAATATGGAAGCCATTCATCTAGGATTCCCGTCTAGGCTACCGCTAGACCTCCATCTGGAAGATATATTCCATAATGTCCACTGGGAAAGACTCCGCGCATTTGGGATTCAGGCCTGGAGACTTGACTCTGAAGAGATTATTAACTTTGCTCGACGCCATCGCAGGTCTCTTCGAGGCCTACGCCTTCGTGACGTTCTATTAAAAGAAGGAAGCATGTGGAAAGATATCTTATCTATGCTTCATGACGAGATGGAAAATCTGGAGTGGGTCAGCTTACGGCGAATTGACTACTCCAACGCATTCGATGAAAAATGGGCTACGAGTGCAGATATATCAGATATCCAGTCTTTCCCAAATTCAGATAGTGAGGATGACGACATGTTTGAGCCATACGTTCCAGGAAATTACCATAATATAAATGGGGACGACGACGACGATAACACCAGCCTCGGTGATGAATCAGATGGCCTAAGCTCGCATAACGGCGATGTTGGACCTAGAGCGAACCAAATAGAATTAATTCCAGACAACTCTTTATCTGCACCATTGCTTCTACCCCCATTCACCGACCAGTGGGAAGTCCTAAGCTCTATCCCTGCCGATGACCTTGAAGATGACGGTAGAACTGTGGACTATAGGCAACGGAAAATCTGGGAAGCTTGGGTTATATCCAAGTCGCGGATTTCTGCTAGCCAGGACCGATGTAGGTGAGTATACCTATCTCCCTTCATCTTCTGAGGAGGGGGTCTAGATGGCTTGTTATTTTCTTGCCACTTTACTCCAGGTTATTTACATGACTCTTCAAGGCCTCGATTGGCTCTTTTTACTCGTTTGTTTTCCTTTTATACTTGCTTCTTCTTTTGCTTGGTTTTTCGGCCAACATAAAAAATGCTTTGGAATTTGTACTTTGATTTTTGTTTTCTAGCTTGCTTTCCTGGGTGGGTATTTTCATCTCGGCATTATTGACGATGTTACGTATTTTTTGCCTGCCCCGGCTACGCTATGAAGAACCATGACCCTATGAGCAATGAACAATATAATCTATGCTGGAGTTATAATTATTTGTTTGCCGTTTTACTTCAAAGCCCAGGATAGTGCATAAAAAACGGCGTGGGATTTTTCCTTTGAGAGGTAATGGTATATTAAGTATTGCTATGTAGGAGGATTTCATGAGTAAAGTAATACCCCGACCACGCTTATATGTTTGGTAGGATAGTTAGTTCTTCAAATATGTCAACTGGTGCAAATCGCCCAAGTAAATACCCACATTGTTTGGCAGGGTATTCTAGAAGCTCCAAGATCCTTGGATCCCCAAGAGGTTCAAGATATGCGCAGAGAGCATAACATTCGATTTGAGCTCGTGAATAGAGCCACCAGTCAGCCCGTTCGCATAGTTTACCGAGCCAATAGGCAAGTATTATCATGCACCCGGGATCTTTTGCAAGTAGTTTATTGGTATAATCTGGTAAGAGCCTTCCCATAAAACCCAAGATTTTTATGAAATTTTCCCGCTTACAGTCGAGTTTGAGAATAGGGGTAAGCATCCTCAGTGGCCATAGACAAGGGTTATTATCCTCAGTAGTTGCCTCGGTGATCCCGCAGACTCCAGCGAGCTCGGGATGCAAGCCCTCTTTACCTGGTCGGTGATCACCAAATGTTTCCTCGTCCGAGGATTCCATAAAAACGTCGTGCCAGATACTGTGTTGAAGGTAGCAGCTGAGATGGCTGAGAAGAAAACGCAATCCTCCTTGGATCAGTAGCCAGTTGAGATCCGCAGGGTTGTTGGTGAAAACCCAGGACTTTGTATAATCAGGGTCGGCCCCTAGAAACGCAATACTGCTCATGAACATGCAGGTCGACATCAAGCCATCCATGTTGTGGAGGCCTATGCTTGTTTGGATCTCCTCTTGATATTGTTTAATTGTCTGTTGCCAGTGATATGCATGTAGGACCTTGTAAGAGGAGTCACCCTGGGCCTTGTCACATACAGCGGTGGCCCCAACACCAAGAATTGCATGCATAAGGTACGGTGTCTTATAACACATAAAGTTAACGAACTGCAGGTATAAAAGAACACACGAGTATACCAACCTTGAAGGCTAGAGGTAGCACCTTTGTTATCATAACAGTGATGCCAGCGTCTGAGAGTACATTCATATCATGCTCTACATTGAGGAACTGATGAAAAGCAATGACTGATTTCGAGTCTGCACTTAACGGCCGAATTTTGGCCTTCGAGCCTAACTGGAGGGCATAGGTGAGGCGTGCGGCAAGATCCGTTCTTGACATAGCATGGAGCACAGAGTCTATGAAACCAAAGCCATCCTCAGCTCTGTATATAGGGCCATTTGACCCTGCCTTTCCAGGAACCAGTGCTTGTTGATCCAGGTAATCACAGGAAACTCCATAAGCTTCGCACCTACGGCAATGTGGTTTCGTTTCATCGCACTAAATAGGTGGCGGTTAGCAATCCCTGGACTCTGGCCCTGCTACTACTTTTCAGAATTGCATGGCGTGCATTGTGCATGGAAGATCGGGGCGGTGGGTTTTTACCTTAACCCTGCGCTTCTTGCAGTTGTCACACCCAGCTCTAGACTTCCGATGCGATTTTCGAGAGTTGCAAAGCTTCTCAGTTGATTGGTCGCTGCCGGACGAAGATATATTTCTACGTTCAGCGCGCTTTGGAGCTGTGCAATTCTTAATGCGAAAGACCACCTGGTTGCCAATCTTTCGAGATGGGGTCACCAAAAGCTCCTTCTGTTGGCCCAGTATACTATCCTGAGCATTATGGAGTTCAGGTGAGACTGACGGATGCTGGGTATGGTTACGTAGCATCATATTTTGAAGGAAAAGACGCTCTTCTCAAAGTGAGGGCCAAATAACTGTATACGACCAATCTCCAATTTGGGAAACTGTTAGAATGCGGTGTTTAGTATAAGAAGATTAGTCTGGTCGGTAGCTCCAGACAGCGCTCGATATATAAATTTCCGCGTTCCTTATCCCAGTGGGCTGTGCACTCCTTAGGTTCATCGTTCTGAGAAACGACCTGGCAGTGAACCAAAAGGAGGCAGTGTTTTTTGTGGTCTCTTTTTCCGGCTTCGTTTTTTCTTTGCTTTTTGATGCTTTCGAAGATCAACAAAAATGAGGCTGAATACGACCGGCGCTAGACCGAATCAGGTAACTTTTCGTTTTTCTAGACGTTGCTGACATAAGCGGTTGCTCTTTTTATAGTAGAGTGATAGATGGAAGAGACGGTGAGGTTGTATGGTCAAGCAGATAGTGTGGTATAGGAGAGTAATTTTGCTGCCAGAAAGGGCTAATTCCGTGCGCAAAGGGTACGCGTTATAGTATCATTTCTAGAATCTCGTACTATACAAAAGGGCGTTGAAAAGAAGATACATTGGTATTGGTACATTGGACACCCCCCTTCAAAGGCAAAAAGGGAGGGTTAAGAGGTTTGTGCTGGTGATGTCGGTAGTGGTGGGAGTACATCAGCTTGCTCGTCAAGTTCTTCAGCGTCGAGATCTTCGTCCTCCGAATATCCCATGGCTCTGCTCCAGACTCCGTCCCAAATCCCCTTTTTAGCAGCCAGAGTGCCGACCATCAATAGGGGTAAATGCCACACACTTGCCCAAAATAGACCTCGTGCTGTCCCTTTGGCTCCTTCGAGCTTCCAGAACCGATACGCTTCTTTGGTAAGCCAGGAGTTGATCAGTACGCCGCCAACCAAGAAGCCCTTGTCGACTACCCCAGCCCACCATAGGCCTGCACATAGAGGGAACATGAGTAGGGAGTAGCGCAGAGCAACACGGCCGTTCCGTGCGGGATTCGTCCATGCAAGCATCTTATACCCGGCGTTTTTATACTCGTCACGAATAATATGGGAGAGGGCGTTGAAATGCGGAAATTGCCATGCAAAGAGAAGGCCGGAGAGGAGCCAACCTCCAGCGCTGTCTGGTCCAAACAACAAGTCTTTCCAGGTATCGTGACCTGTTATGGCTGTTTGGCCAGCCGCAGCCGCCCAGCCCATCAGGGGAGGTATCCCACCCACCACTGCTCCAACCCATGTGTTGATAACAGAGATTCGTTTTAGTGGAGTATATATAAAGCCGTACAGAACAATATTTGCTGCTGAAAGCCCTGCCACGGTGGGATTTGTGCCAAAGTACAGGGCAGTAAGGCCTGCTGCTGCGGTCCCGATTGCAAAGAGCACAGCTGCACGAGTAGTCATGAGCTTTCGTACCAAAGGCCGGTTTCGCGTTCGAGTCATAAGGGCATCATATTTAGGCTCTAAGAGCATGTTTATTGTGTTTGCGCTTGCGCATGATAGGAATGTACCGACAGAAAGGTAAAAAAACGTCAAAGTCGAAGTAGATAGAGTCGGGAGAGGGGTGACTGAAGGATCAAGATGTAATATCGAAGGAACTGGGTAGAGACCGTATGCTGTAGTAGCTGTAAGAACAATTAGAAAGGATAGCCGTGGCTTTGTAAGGGCAAGAAAGGCGGCCAGTTTGCCTTTCAAGGAGGATTTTGGCAATGATGAGGAGATGGCGGAGAGCTGTGAAGATGCATCAAGGCGTAACTCTTGCTTTGAAGCATTGGCTCCGTCCTGCGCCTTTAACCGCTGCCTCCGTCGGTGAGGGAGCTCCTCAATAGTTTCCAAAGCATCCTGAGGCTTTAATGGTGCTCGACTGGCCGAAGTTGTTGTGTATGTTGTTGGGGCTTTCGAATTGAAGATACCACCCGTGTGCTGTGTCGAAGATATCGTTCGTGACCACGGCAAGGAGGTTTTCCTTTTAAGCTCGCCCGCGGTGAATGGGTCATGGGATGAGAAGTACGACTTTCTCAGATAGCGTGGGCATGGTCGAGTATCGCTCTGTAAGTATCTCGCCGTTGCTGTAAAGGTCCGTCGTTGAGCGTGCTGCTGTGGAGGGCCGCTCTTTAAGATGCATCCTACACAAGGCCCTCCCGGCTCCAGTATGGCCCATGGCCGCAGGGAGAATGCCCTCAGGCTCATCGCCAGGCCGGAAATTGTTCAACAGATGGCGAACCCAGCATAACTCAGGCCATTCTTCATTCTTCAAGTTGTTTCTTCTCGTTATTTTTTCTTTGCTTTTCGCTGATAATTGAAAAATCACATTCCCAAAATAGAATAGTCAATATATGACTAAGCAATATATCTTGGCATGGGCTTTTCACCGCCTTACTCGATTGGGATTCTGCCAGCTATCTCAAAAAAATAAAATAAAATAAAAAATATAAATATAAAAAGAAAAAGAAACCAGCGACAACGAGCTGTTTTCATCTGGTTGGAACAGTCGCGCGGACGAGACGAAACGAGATAGCAAAGATGGAAGCTCTACCACAGATTCTTCAGTCGAAGATAATAAACCCCTTGCAGCCTCTACTTCGACAGATCACCACGTCATTACCAACTCCTGCGAACGACGCGCTCATCTCCCTCCTTGGTGTCAACTGCTTCACATCCCTCGTCCTCAGTTTGGATATAACGAAAGATCCAGAATGCCTTCCGCTCGCAATTTCTAAGGCTCTTGGGATTGCGATCGTCTTATTCAGCGCCATCGTCAAGGTCCCGCAGATTCTGAAGCTCATCTCCTCGCGGTCAGCAGCTGGAGTCTCGTTTACATCGTACGCCCTCGAGACAGCCAGCTTCCTTATTACTCTTGCCTATAATGCGCGCCAGGGATTCCCATTCAGCACTTATGGCGAGGTTGCCTTGATTGCCGTGCAGGACATTGTGGTTAGCGTGCTGGTGTTGGTGTTTTCTGGCCAAACGGCTTCAGCGGGAGCTTTCCTTGCCGCTGTTGTTGGTATTGTCTATGCATTGCTATTCAGCGGCGAGACCATAGTTGATCAGGCTACCATGGGCTATCTCCAAGCTGGAGCCGGTCTCTTGGGAATCGCCAGTAAACTTCCTCAGATCTGGACCATCCGGAGCCAGGGAGGCATTGGGCAGCTCAGCTCTTTTGCAGTAAGATTTCTCTTTTAAAGGAACTATATACATTATTACGAGGCAATGGCCGCTAACTGAATGTCTGACTTAGGTTTTCAACTATCTCGTTGGGTCCCTTTCTCGCATTTTCACTACCCTTCAGGAAGTTGACGATAAGCTCATCTTGTATGGCTTCGTGGCAGGATTCATCCTTAACGCGATACTTGCCGCACAAGTAATGTACTACTGGAATGCCCCATCCACCATCTCTGAGAAGCGTTCAGGCCGCGTGTCGGAGCAACCGAAGCCCATAGCAGTCTCTAGCGGGGTCTCCCAAAGCCCTTCTGTCAAAGGCCCATCAACAAGGCGAAGGGGTTAGACTATTTATGCCTGTGGATATTATCTTAATGTTGCGGTCCGGTTTCTTTTACGAAGGTAATAGATAATATTAATCTTAATATCTGGTGCTTCTTATTCGGTCAATTCTGGAGCCACAATGTTGTAATCCTAATTATCTTACCACAACGTAGTGTCACTGTTGAACTGTTCCCATTCTCATTTGAGAAGAGTCGAAAATTGTTTGCGTCTTAGTACGTTCTCAAGGACATTTAGGTCCGAAGTCGCCTATATCTCATCGTGGTTGGGGTTCCGCGCCAGTCATCATGTACCGGAAAAAATCATCAAGCGGTATGGTATGGTGGTCCCTAGAGTGACGAGCAGCGCCAGGCTTCGTCTCATCCCCAGTTTCCATTGTCTCGTCCTCGTCTTCAGACTCCTCGAAGTCTCGTCCAGCCGCTCCCTCCACGTTCTCGTTTAATTTCCTGGTCAAACCTGTGATCACATTGCTTATCCCAGCTTCTTTTTCTTCTATTGTATAATCACCTCCCCAATTCCTCCTTCTAGCTTCCATGTTAGCTTCAATGGGAGCCCACTCCCACAAGGCCTGTAAGTCTTCCCTGGATAGCCGGTGTATTATATTGTCAGTTTCAGAAGTAGAAGTATTGCCCGTCACTGTAAGATTTTGTTGGTCACCGCCTGGTTGTTCGAGAGCTTCTCTTCCCACCGATCGACCATATGCTAGCCAGTCTTCCACGCGAGGCTCGAGTTTGGTTCGCATAAGCTGGTTCAGTATAGCAGATTCTGTCTTGCCGGGAAACGCGGGGGTAGGATACACGACGAGGGAGGACAGGAGATCACGGTGTTCATGGAGGAGGTGGGAGATGGTGAGCAGGTTATTCGATATTATTGTAGCCTGGGACTGAAGTGACGACCTTTTTTGCAAGTACGCTTAGCCTTTTATTCTTCTTATGTCTGCTTGTCTCTCTTCGCGATAGGGAGATATCTAGATTGCTCACCAAGCTGGGAGTGGCTGGCTCTGGGTGATGTTATTGACCAGCGAGCCGAGTGACTGCGTAAGGTTAACAAGGCGCTGGCGGGTTTGCTCAATAACCTTTAGTTGCTCTTGACTTATAGATGCCATTGCGATATCGCCTATATTGAATCTGTGTCTGGTTTGGTGAGAAATGGGTTTTGAACGGGTTGATGGCGCTGTTGCAAGCTAGAGAAGAGTGTTTATCGATAAGGAACAACCTACTTACTATATACATCAATATCTAGATCTAGGCCAACCCTACAACTACGACAATTGAAATGTAAAACAGCTCGTAAAATCGATTGTCATTAAGCTTACTCCAGTGTACATTCCATTTCTCCCAAAAAGAAAATGCCTTCAAACCAGGTAAACCAAAAAGTAAAGGGGAAATTGAGGATGGGGCCCCGGGAGAGCTGGACCTTACGGAACCGCTGTAGTAAGAGGACATAAATACAAGGGTATCATAAAAGGGAGTGGCACGGGAAGAAAAAAAGCCAGAGTAGAGGTATGTGTTATGTAGAAAAAAATAGAGCACTCCAGACAGACTCAGTGCGAAGAAATATTAACTAGCTCTCAGGGCTCTCAACGCGTTGTTTTGACAGAGACTTTCGTGGAGGTGGTGCCGCAGATAATATTGGGACCTTTCGGTCCCCATCCATGGCATGTTGTGCCGTCTGAGTGAGCGAGTTCATCATGTGCGCTTCAGAGGGGTATTTGATGTCTTGATTGGGAGCATAATATGAGCCATCGACGGGTTGCCCCATGCTGGGGTCGTAAAACTGCTGTGCTTGAGGAGTAGGTTCACCGCCCCAGTACTTGTGCAGGCCATTGTGCGATGGTGTCATGATAGTAGTATCATTCCACCTCTCGTGTAGACTGCTCGATTGGCTTTGTCGTTTGGCTCTTCGGCGACGGTTGCGGATAAAGAAGAAGCAGCCCACACAGAGAACCGTAGAGACTAGTAGGAATCCAACGATGGGTAACACGATGATAAGGATCAGGTTTTTCTTTGAGCGACCGGTTTTCGTACCCGGCAGAACCGGATCTTGATTCGGTGGTAACTGTAGTGGGTTGAAGATCCTATTAGGCTCAATAAAAAACTTGTCCCCCTGGGGAACCATAGCACGGCATCCTTCACGGAAAGCTTCGAGAACTAGTGGGTTGATTTTCGTTAGCGAAACGATGATAGATGATGTAAATACCCCATTACGGTATAATGAGAACTTACAGTTGGCAAGAAATTTTTCATTTTCGGTCAGAGAATAGCAGATTGTGCAATCGGTAATGTCTTTGTCAGAAAAGGTCGATATTCCACAAAAATCATATAGATTTCTTCCTAACGGCTCGAGCTGTTTGTATTTGATCGATTCCGATAGACCTTGACAGGTAACCTGGCATGGAGTAGAGAGCGACTGTTTTACCACTGGGTATCCGTATATGCAAGTGGAAAAGGCAAAACGTAGATTATCTAGAGATCGATGCATGTCAGTCAAGGAGTTCCGGTTTAGTTCCATTATAACATCGCTCAGCGAGAGATATATAGGCCTTCATACATAAGCCCCATTTAACGTCAGATTCGTCAAGAGAAACATCGTAGTATGTACTCTGCAATTCGCAGGACACACACTCGCGGAAACGGCGTCCAACGGCTGTTTCATTGAATTCATTATCATGACACATGATATCATCGCCAGTAGTGTTGGTCACGGTGCCGCCGCAGACATCGGCGCATGGCGAACGCGGAGTGAAGAGTAGGCTGGAGGCCGCTTGCAGTAAAGTTAAAGAAACGGCAAATATGGAGAATAGCATGGTGAATGGCGGTATCGCTATATACTCAAGAAGCTCTAACAGTCGAGAACGGTTTCAGTAGTCGTTATCTCATAGGCATCCGATGGCTTGAGAAGGATTTTGATCTCTATAAATCTATCCAAGGTGTGGCCGCGTATTTGTCAAGTAACAGTGTGCATGCCTCTATCGATCGATAGATATGTACCGAGTATCCCTTTTCCACAGCTCCCACTAGGGCAGACCTCTCTTGAGGGTCTACAGCCCTGAAATCGATCGCATCAGTACGTGGCTTCTCGGATGGCTCATATTTAAGGGCGGGGAAGCACAAACCACAGATCTGAGCACGGAGAAAGTGCTTTTGGTGGTATGCACTCCGCAATTAGTCTCGCGGTGAAGCCCTAGGAGATAAAAATAGGGCCAACAGTGCGTAACGGATACACGATGGGCGCAAAAAGTTGACAGGAACAGAGAAACGAAGTGTCCAACAAAGCGTTCGAGTCCTGGCTTATGAACGATTTGACGTTTGATGAAGGAGAGACCAAGAAAAAGAAACCATACTTCGAGTATATGCAGGCAGAATGGTTTCCACAAGAACATGCATGAAGCAGTCAAAGAAAGGGACAAACTAGTAACTTTGTCATCACGGGGAGCAAATATCTGCAGGGAAAGCAGCTTGATCCCTTGCAGGCGAGGCCATTGCCCCCGGCCGACATGGCTAAGTCTGCGGGATGCTAGCCAATCTGTCTGCTTGCAAGTTGGTCCGGCCGTTCTCTTGTGGTGATACAGAGTGTGATAGGATGTGATGTACCCTAGTCCGTTGAGCGCCATTGGACAGAGCTTGAGATGCAATGCGTGAGGCGGGATCCACCGAATATCCGTCAGCCAGAAGGCCATCGACGGGAGACCAAGTCTCCCTCGCTTCCTTCTCAGAGACTTATATCCGAGGCAGCTATATGGAGGCAGTTGTGTAGCCGTAAAGGGATACCAGATAGGTTTTGCGCGTTTCCGTCCTCTGCCATACTACATAGTATGTACTCCATATTTTCACGGGGGTGAGCATTAGACTGGCAACATCGCTTCGCCCATGGCCATTTAGACGGGGATCCTCGTCAAGCGGACGGGGAAGAAGAGAGCGAGGCCTAATCCAGCGTTGATTGGGCCTTTTCCGTGGGCGCTAACAAAGGTGTTTCTTCGAGCAAGGGAGTCCCTGAAGCTGCCCCGTTGCCCTGCGCCATCCAATTCGTTTCTTGAAATATTGGTTCGATTTCTCGCAAGTCCGTCTATACTATGTATAACCACCCGACTAACAGTGACGGGATCTGGACTCATCCGGTCTATATAATGATACTCTTTCACCCTGTTGTTGTGTTGAGATAAAAGACGAAGATGAAGAAATGCAGCTTGATGTCTAAGCCCCTGGATTATGTAATGACATAGCCCCTTTCGTATCTACATATTAAATACACCACAAACGCTATGTATAAAGATATCACGTCTCTATGAGCTGAAGCCTTGATTGGGAGCCATACTCTTGGGATACATATCTTCTCCCTTCTACTGTCAGTGGCGTCAGGGTTCCTCCCGGTTTATACTTCATGCTAAATAGCACGGCGCGTAGATGCATGCTCACCCTTGTTTTCTGTTCCTTTTTCTTCTGGCTTCCCTACAAGCCGATGGGCCCTGTGCAAGATATTGCTTACTATGTATGTGCGAATATGGCCCCAATCGACCGGGTGGGGCTGGTTATATGTCATACGATATATGCCGGTTTGGCAAGGTCTTGCCTCTCGATCAAGATACATATCTACAGAGTTAAGGAATCGGCTGAAAAACTTGGTAGAAGAATATAGTACGTATGTTAACGGACGTACTCCGCAGACCAGACTCCATTTTGTATATTCTATCTATCTCG